AAGAAATTACAACCATTTGCACACGCTCCCTTTTTCAAAAAGTCTTTTTCAAGCTTGTTTTCATCCACATAACATAATGCCCACCAAAAAAAATCCAGTTTGAATAAATAAAAGCTGACAACCATTTCCACTCCCGGCCATCGCCAGTAATCATGGATTTGTGTTGTGACACTCATCACAACTGGCAGCTGTAAGTACCTGTAACCTGCACATCACATGAGCGCCATCCTCCATCCGCTGCTTCCTTCTGTAGCATTTCCACGTCTCCCCGTAGTGCTTCTGTGTCTTTGTTTCTCTATGTAGTTGTTTTCTGTCGCTTTGTACTCATTTGAGTATGTGTGTGTGTTTGTTTTGTGTCTCTTTGTAGTCGTTCCAGAAGTTGTTTCCTGGTCAGTCAGAGTATCTTTAGTATTTCTGACTCCTTCGCGGTTGTTTCTGCAGCTGCTCTTTCCGTTTGGTTTTGGATGCTGCAGTTCACAGCATCGACTCATAATTGTTTCCATACGTTTGGCTTCTTGTAGAAGTGCATCGGGGGGGAAAACGGGGCGTCACACGAAGCCCCCGGATGGAGCTTAATCTCTGCAGGGTCGGGCCACAAATACCTCAAACGCTGAACACCACTTGAATCAGAATGTGTTCAAACGACACGCTGGGAGTGAAAATCGACTTGGAAAAGTTTATTTCAAAAGTTTATTTTTTTTCTGTGTAGCTGCCCTCACCATTTCAGATTGACGAGCATCAACACGTGAGCGTCACGGATTACTGCTGTCATACCAAATTCACATTTCTCTCGGAGGGATGCGACTAAAGCTGCATTGCCAATGCTGCTGTGAAACAGCTGGAAGTCTGAACTACGAGCTTTCACATCAGAGGAAATAACCGCAGTCAAAGAACACATTATTATTTTATAAGTTGCTTTTGTTATAGAAAGTATAGGACCATATAAGTGTTTAAAACACATAATATGCATTTATCTAGCTAATGTATTTAGTATTTGGGGTGCTTCTTAACTGTTCATTTTAGAGATTATTGGCGTTTTTATTTATTATCTAAAATACATTTATTTTTGTGATGTGGGGCCCTGCAGAAACACATAAACCACACATCTTCTCGTTGTAATGTTTATGTTTTTTATTACCTCTTGGTGCTGTGTGACTTTCTTACTTGGGAAATAGAGTTGATACTAATATTGACCCATCTTCTTCTCTTTGTGGTGGTGGTGGTGTTGTGTTTGGGCCGATTGGTGAGGCGTAAATGAGGGAAGGAATCAATGCGAGAGAGAGAAAGCAAGACCAATGAGACTGAGAATAGACCGAGGTACCAGCTGACGATGGACTGTTCTTGATAAAGGAAACACAACGGCTGTCAAGTTGAACGAAACCCATTCCCAGGGATGGCTGGTTGTGGGTGAAATCACGCCCCCCTAAAAGTTCAGCGTCATTTTAATCCGTAGACAATTACTCAGTTCCTTGTCATTTTCTCCCTGTCAATCATTCCGTGCGAGTGTTTTCCGATTTGACAGCCCGCCGGGAGCCACGGCGCCGCCTCAGACGAGCAGATCCAGTGTGATGGCGTTAAATGAGAGCATTTTACACACTTTACTTTCTGTTGTCGCAGGTGATTAACGCTGTCAAATGTATTCAGTATTGTGTGTGTGTGTGTGTGTGTGTGTGTTTTGAGCATGCCTTGGCACCTTTGTCCATTTCTGACCTAATTGTTTTCTAATTCTGCCCCTGAGCCCCCCCACTCGCCCCAACCGCCTCTGTCCACTCAAAACAATGAGTCATGGAATCGTTTTTGTACGTTTTAGAGGGCGCTTTTGTGGCCGCCGGCCTGTCCATAAAATTCATCACACTGCGACTGTTTGGGTTGTCAAACTGGCCGAGGCCGAAGCAGCAAGGCCCAGAATTGTGTCAACGTCGGAGTGGGAGGGAGATGCCTTCATTCATCACGCCCGGCATCCATTTACTTATCCGTTGCGCGCGTGGCACAGCGACGTTTCCAATTTTCAAACTGCACCACACAGAGGTGCCGAAATGTTACTCACTCAGGGAACCAGACGTGCTCTGTGTGTTTTATTCGTAATGGAAGGTGAAGGCGGAACGAGGGGGTGAACTCTCAGGCTTCTGAAAGTGCTTCGATGTAAAAGCAACTCATCGCATCTGAAAGAAAGTGTTACAAGGGAATTTCAACAAGCAATGACTTCCGACGCCCGAGGCATCATCTTATTCAAGGACTCTCCTCCATTCATCTTTGGGTATAATTATATTATTTATAGTCATTAAAACCACAATGTAATGTACATTTAATGTGCCCCTGATTGTTGAAGAAAATTCATACAAAAAACTGGAGGTTATAACAACTCTGGGGAAAATGACATTTCCTTGAACCTACACGTGTACTCTGACATGGAGCACACGCCAACACACCTGCAGGCTGTCTACGTTACAAAGAAGGTTCTTGCACAGTTTTTCATCATTCATGCTCCGTTTGTTCATTGCCACAGAGAGTTGCGTCTGAAGTTAAACAGAGTCGCAGCTCTCTCTCTGTGATTTCCCTAAACACCCGTCTGTTAGCTGTTGTCTCTGTGTGTGTACTTACGAGCCGCACAGCGTGAGACGGCCTGGGCTGCAACGCAATTAAATCAACAGAAGAAGAAAAAAGGCAAATGTTTCTTTCAGGGTGTGGTGATTTAATTGGACACTAACGATGCATTAATTCCAGCAAGGATGAAAGTGGACGTGGAGGCTTTTCTCTCACGTCCACGGGGTACAGAAAGTGACCTCGTCTTTCAGTCCGTGCTTGCAACATGATCACTGCCCGACTCGGCGGGATCGTCCCGAGAACGCGGATGAGGATCGCCTGCGTTCTGTGCTTACTGCTGTGCTCACATCTGGAAAGTCTGGAAGTTAAGGAATCAGCTCCATCTGCTGGAGGGAAAGAAAAAGAAAAAAAAAAACATCAGGCCACTTGGTGTGAAGAAATAGGGCCGCAGAGGGACAAATTCAGCCCAACCCAAGAATGTTCCCGTCTGAGAATGTTCCCATCTTTTAATGATTGAAAACAACCCGTTTGTGAGAGTTTGGCTGTGATCAGCATGTGACACATTTTAAATAATCAGATGAAAAAAAAATTAATTTGTGGCCCCCATTCCTCGAATGCCGGCGCTTTATTATTACAATGCTGCGTCCATATTCCTTAGTATCTATTTTATCATGTTAATAATACAGATTTATATGTAGCTATGCAATCATTTCATTTGTATTTGATCCGTGGAGATGTAAAGGAATACAAGGAGAAACTATTCTTTAATCCTAATGCTTTATTTTGTCCCTGATGGATTATAATCATTGATATAGCTTATATTCATATATAAGCATTAGTTTACCGTTGAAATTGTTGTATTTGTTATCCTGTTCAGTAAATAATAGGATTCTGAGTCACTTACTAACTTGTGTCATTGGCCCCTCAAATGGAGTCGACAATGAGATCAATTCAATAGTTTCTTACTCAACGTTCAAGTACAAATTTAACACATTTCACATTTTTTTTAGTCGAAATGTTATGGAGGGCAACCGACGCTTGATGGGCTGGCAAATGCAAATCCTATAAACACACCTTGTATGAGAGTCAGAGGCGCTTGAGGGCGTCCTGGGAGCTTTTAGGCCATTAGAATGTGCTGCAGGGGAACGGTGAAGCCACAGCCCTCTAGTGGAGAGGAAAAGGAGACACAATGGAGGTCCTTATTTTGTGTAACTGAAGGCGTGCCGTGGATTTGGATGCAGGTTCAAATAAGTTCAGGTGCAAAAACAAGTACAACCTGGAGCCAGTAAGTCATGACCAAACTTCTGGAATTATTTCTACTCAGAAATGTTTTTGACAATGGAAACCCATGTAAACAGATCAATAAACCTTTCCATGCAAGGATTTTATCTTTGGGTTTTCATGTTTATTAACTTGAAAGGATTTACTGAAGACTCAACTCCAGGCTGGCATTTATCAACTTTATCCGATCCCAGTTTTGTCATACGGTAATTCCATTTTTGTTAAACGTGTCATCCAAAACAAGTAATGCAGGCTTAACTGCTCGCTAAAAATACCAGCTTGTCTAGGGAAGGAACATATAGCGCTGCCCAGTATCTGGGCCTTGTGAACGACTGGTCATGTACAGACAGGCATTAAAACCAGAAACAAGCCTCTAAAGTTTCCACTTGACTGGTGAAAAACAGAAGACACTAATGTAAAATATAAAGTCTTGAGGATGTTGTTCAACCCCTTGCAGTGTAAAACACATGTGGTGGAACATTCCTGCTCCTAATTCATGCGTCACTAGTTAAACATATCCTTGTACGATAGGAGACAAAGGAGAATGAAGCAATGTGAGGCTTTTGTTTTGTATTTCATCACGCGTTTAAGGTTGGGTGGCGCTATTGGGGCCAAAGTGGGAACAACAAAAAACATGTTGACGACAGAGGCACAAAAGTAATAATGTCCCCTGCCTAGACTGGTGAGATGGTAACATGCCACAATGGCCATGCAGATAAATAGCGCCACAAAGCATAGAACGACAATTTTAACAGTGAGTTTTTGTCTTAATAATAAAATTCATGACTCGAAGGTTCAGGTGATTCCATAAAACATAGAGATATATGGAAGGTGAGAGGACACACCTTCATTAAAAAAAAATTATTGATGAGCTAAATATACTAATGTCTGCACGTATTAGAAAATGGATATTGCAGGCATCAGTAGGGGATTTACAAATATTTGCAGAATCCATAAGACGCCTGTACAATTCTACCATAGTCACTGGTACATGATAATAAATAAATAATTGATATACGATGGTGTTTAGATGTTTTATAGACATTTCCTGGCGTTATGAAATAATCTATTAATTAATTCAGTGGCGGATGACAAAGCTCTTTTGATTTTGTCTACGTGGTGTGTCACGCTCCTGAGCGCGATATTGCGTGATGACGCAGGGACCTGACGCGCGTAGTATAAATCCCCACTTTCTGACGTCAGCGATCTCTTCCCTGCCTATGACCTCGTGAGGTGGGCAGCGTACAAATTCCCTGTCTCGTTTCACCACTGAGCGGATCCCAAACCATCCGTCAAAATGGTGAGTTGGTCACATTTCTCCGAGTATTTAACGTATTATCGAGCACCCACGGTGTCCCCGGCGTTAATATTGATCTTCTAAACGGCATTTATTAGACGATGATCGTACTTGAATGCAGTTTCTCTGGATTGTGCTTTGATCAAAATGGCAGCCGTTTTACCGTCGTCACTGCTGCCCATACGGATTTTTTGGGATATTCGGGAATCCGTTTTTTCATTATTTTAATAAAGCGTTGCTTGTTCGTTTTAGATAAAGCTTCTCGGGCCGTTTTGTGTGCTCATTTGTTAACCGGCCGTTAAATAACTGGCAATAGCTGACAACCCGTTCATGCGTTTGCGCCGACATTTATAGTAATTAACGTTAGTTTAATTTCGACATGAATTACCAGTCACCACATTTCGGGGCGAGTTACAGTTTGTATAGTTGGTCTGCCGCGGTGTTAATGCCACGTCGTTGACGTTGAAAACACCGGGCTGGAATCTACCGGCATTTCGCGCTGCCGGGCCCGGCCGGCTAGTTTAGCAAACAAGCTAACCGTAGCATGGTATCACGAGTCCGTACACGTGGCCATCTTGTGCTGACGTAATATGCCGGTTGCTGCTTAATTATATTGTTACAGATGTTGTGTTACGGCAGTTGAGTCGTGTATCATTGTCTGCGGCGCATATTGATCGTACGACGAAAGGTTCCCGAAGAAGGAATAAAAAAAACGGCTAAAATTGTGTAACGTCACAACTGTGACGATGGTGGATAACGCCCTGGCTGAACGCGAAGACCAAATCGCACAGCGCCAGAAGCAATTGTCGATATGATCAGTATACCCTTTTGCTATATTAACCCTTCTTGTACATGATTTGGGGATTATTTAAATTTTAACGACGATTTCCCCCTCCCCCCCCTTAGGTGAACTTTACCATCGACCAGATCCGTGCCATCATGGACAAGAAGGCCAACATCCGTAACATGTCTGTGATTGCGCACGTTGACCACGGAAAGTCAACTCTCACGGACTCCCTGGTGTCGAAGGCCGGCATCATTGCCTCAGCCCGTGCTGGAGAAACCCGTTTCACCGACACGCGCAAAGATGAGCAGGAGCGTTGCATCACCATCAAGTCAACGTAAGAATATTTTAATAAATCAGTAGGTCGGGTGGTGTAGTGAGTTCGGCTCCCCTCTCGATCCTCCCCGGTCCGGCTGAGTTGGCAGTGGAAGATCAAAGTCTGCCACACTTGACCCAATCCCTACTTTTCTTTTTTTGGATGTCGATGAACATGTCATGTCATTACATTAAAAATGTATGCAATGCATTAAAACATGCCCTATGTAATCCCACATTACACTTGCAGGTGTTTGTATTCTAACTCCGTGAGCTTTTATTTTTTGCCCAGGCAGCACAAATCAGCAGGGCTCACCGCAGAGCAGGGTAGTGCAGGCAGCTCCCAATTGTGTAACGCCCATTGATGATTCATTGTACTGAACACGTTAGGACTCGGCAAAGACTAAGCGTTAAATATTTAGTTATTCTTTTTACTTTACTACATTCTTAGTTTTCCAAATTGACATTTCCAAGCAAATACAATGAATCTCTTCCGTACGGCTTATCATTTTTAATAGCAGTTGATCTGTGATCCCTATGTAGTTTCACATTGAGAAATCTATAATGTCTTGCGGACAAGATTAAATTCATACTTTTAAGTTTGAACTATCACTAGAAATCCCTCTCCCCACTATTGGTGTGAAACTCCTAATTTCAAAAACATTTGCATTGGCACAATTGACCAAGTCTAATTAATTCTCCTGACTTGCAGCGCCATCTCCTTGTTCTACGAGCTGACCGAAAATGATATGGCCTTCATTAAGCAGAGCAAGGATGGTTCTGGCTTCTTGATCAACCTGATCGACTCACCCGGGCACGTTGACTTCTCGTCTGAAGTGACTGCTGCTCTTCGTGTCACTGATGGAGCCCTGGTTGTGGTGGACTGTGTGTCTGGTAAGAACAAAACTTCCAAACCTTAAGTTACCAATGTGTATGTCAATTTTTTACTTGCACATTTAGGACACTATCCACGATCAAGAAACTAAGTTATATTCAAAGTAAATAGAAAATTCACCGCATGACTGTAGAATGATTTTAATGTGTCTTTGTGCTAAACTGTCTCATTGTGTGTCCCTGCCAGGTGTCTGCGTGCAGACCGAGACAGTGCTCCGTCAGGCCATTGCAGAGCGCATCAAGCCAGTCCTGATGATGAACAAAATGGACCGTGCCTTGTTGGAGTTGCAGCTTGAGCCTGAAGACCTTTACCAGACCTTCCAACGTATTGTGGAGTCAGTCAATGTCATCATCTCAACCTATGGAGAAGATGAGAATGGACCTATGGGCACCCTCATGGTGAGTTTTCGTGCAACAAAAAACAAGTGCTATTCATGCTATTTTAGTGCAACAAACTAGCCTCATGTCTTGGTCTACAGCTTGATGCCATTTATGTCATTTAAAACAATCTGATTCCTTTGGCAGCTGACTGATTAGGATCCAGCTCCTAGATGGAGACCCAACCTTGCTATTACAAGTATAATTTCTAATCGATTAACGCATACTAATGTCCTTCATTTCTCCAAAGGTCGATCCTACCATTGGAACAGTTGGCTTTGGCTCTGGACTTCACGGCTGGGCATTCACCTTGAAGCAGTTTGCAGAGATGTATGCAGCAAAGTTTGCTGCCAAGGGCAACACCCAGCTGTCCCCAGCTGAGAACTGCAAGAAGGTGGAAGACATGATGAAGAAGCTGTGGGGAGACAGGTCAGTCTAAACTATTAGAAGGCCACTTGCTTTCAAATGTTTATTTAATCTACAACAAGATCTGTTAATATAGCAGTTTCACATTATTCACACCATATGTTTTACTTTAGGTACTTTGATGCGAGCACTGGCAAGTTCCTTAAATCTTCTACCGGAGCTGATGGCACCAGTTTCCCACGTACCTTTGTTGCCCTTATCCTGGATCCCATCTTCAAGGTAACATGATTTTGAATTAAATACTAAGGTACTTTGTTGGGATAATTCCATATGTGTCTACTTTGGAAATAAAGAGTTACTGTGTACCTGCAAGTGATGACATGAAACATTCTTCACTTTGACCTGAATTACAGTGATGATAACCTTGACTCTGAGCCAGGCACAGAAACCGTAACCTCATTCTTAGCTTTGTTATGCCTAACTGCTAGCGACGTAGTCTGTTTGCTCGGTCTACTAATTCTGGAACTTCATGTTTAGGTCTTCAATGCCATCATGAACTTCAACAAAGAGGAAACTGCCAAGCTGGTGCAGAAGCTGGACATCAAGTTGGATGTTGAGGACAAGGAAAAGGAGGGAAAGCCTCTCCTGAAGTCTGTGATGCGCCGCTGGCTGCCTGCTGGAGAAGCCCTCCTTCAAATGATCACCATCCACCTGCCTTCACCTGTGACTGCCCAGAGGTACCGCTGCGAACTGCTCTACGAAGGACCTGGAGATGATGAGGCTGCCATGGGTAAATTGGACAGCTGTTGGCGAGACTGTTGCAGTGCTCCACATGTGGCTGCAATTGGTAGCTTTTGGATCTGATTGTCAAACTACTTTTTTTATATATCCAGGTATCAAGAACTGTGACCCCAAGGCTCCCTTGATGGTCTACATCTCAAAGATGGTTCCTTCCAACGACAAGGGTCGCTTCTATGCGTTTGGTCGCGTGTTCTCTGGCTGCATCTCCACTGGCATGAAAGTGCGCATCATGGGACCCAACTTTGTCCCTGGAAAGAAAGACGATCTCTACCTGAAGCCAATTCAGAGGTTAGTTTCTGTCAGTTAGCTGATGTGTAATATTGTGAATTGGTTTAAGTCACCCAAAGCTATTTGTCACATCTAATTGTCTCTCTTCTACCACTCGTGCAGGACCATTTTGATGATGGGCCGTTACACTGAGCCCATTGAGGATGTTCCCTGTGGTAACATCGTGGGTCTGGTTGGAGTCGATCAGTTCCTTGTCAAGACTGGAACGATCACCACCTATGAGCAGGCACACAACATGAAGGTGATGAAGTTCAGCGTCAGCCCTGTGGTGAGAGTTGCCGTGGAGGTCAAAAACCCTGCCGACCTTCCCAAGCTGGTGGAGGGATTGAAGCGTCTGTCCAAGTCCGACCCCATGGTGCAGTGCATCATCGAGGAGTCTGGGGAGCACATCGTCGCTGGAGCCGGAGAGTTGCATCTGGAAATCTGTTTGAAGGATCTGGAGGAGGATCACGCTTGCGTTCCTCTTAAGGTAAATAAAAGCAAACAGTAGTATAGTATGTATACTTAAAATGAAAGTCAAAACATTTCTGCATTGACACTTTAATTTTATTTTCAGAAATCTGATCCCGTGGTGTCCTACAGGGAGACAGTCAGCGAAGAGTCAAGTATTATGTGTCTCTCAAAGTCTCCCAACAAGCACAACCGTCTGTTCATGAAGGCCTGTCCCTTCGCTGACGGCCTGGCAGAGGACATCGAGAAGGGCGACGTTACCTCTCGTCAGGACATTAAGACCCGTGCCCGCTACCTTGCTGAGAAGTTCGAGTGGGATGTTGGAGAGGCCAGAAAGATCTGGTGCTTCGGCCCCGATGGAACCGGCCCCAACCTTCTGGTGGACGTTACCAAGGGAGTGCAGTACCTTAACGAGATCAAGGACAGTGTTGTGGCCGGCTTCCAGTGGGCCGTCAAGGAGGTGAGGGGCCACACATTCATTATTCAACTAAAACGTTTAAATCTGTGCAGATTCAGTATTGTAACCCTTTTACAATTGGAACTAGTTGGTTTACGGCTATTGGAAACTAAATGAACTAGTAGTTTGTTGAAATGTTTTTTATGTATCATTGGTGTCTCAATGTTGTTTTTTAGGGTGTCCTGTGTGAAGAGAACATGCGTGCCATCCGCTTCAACGTCCACGATGTGACCCTGCATACAGACGCAATTCACCGCGGTGGTGGTCAGATTATTCCTACAGCTCGCAGAGTGCTGTACGCGTGTGAGCTCACTGCAGAGCCCAGAATGATGGAGCCCATCTACCTGGTCGAGATCCAGGTAGGTTCCTAGAAAAATAAAATAAATCTCAGCGTAGAGTGCAAATATGGGCACTCTTGTCCGTAGTTGACATTCATCTCATTTCCCAGATGTGAGCAGGAGTTGTAAAACTAAATATCTCCCGTCTCCTTTGCAGTGTCCTGAAGATGCCATTGGTGGAATCTACGGTGTGTTGAACAGGAGGCGTGGTCATGTGATCGGTGACCTCGGCTTTTCATCTACACCCATGCGTGTCACCAAGGCCTACCTGCCTGTCAACGAGTCATTCGGTAAGTGCTCTTTTAAGACTGTTCTGAGCCCCGGACGTGCAAATGTCTTAAATGAAAGATAATGGGCAGGAATTCAATTGGTTATTACATTTTGTCTGTCCTTTATAAATTGTAAATGTGGAAGTTTTTGTCTTTTGTGCAGCATCTACAATGTTGACATGGTCATCTTTCTAGCGCTCCAGAGTAGCTCGATGTGTTACTAGACTCTGAGGGGTGAGCAGCCCTTCAGCCCAGAAAGGTATTAAAATAGACTCTGCTCCCTCCATTCTCCAGGTTTCACCGCTGACCTTCGTTCCAACACCGGTGGCAAGGCCTTCCCTCAGTGCGTGTTCGACCACTGGCAGATCCTCCCAGGAGACCCCTTAGACCCGGCTAGCAAGCCTGGCGTTGTCGTCGCTGACATTCGCAAACGTAAGGGTCTGAAGGAAGGAATCCCCGCCTTGGACAACTACCTGGACAAATTGTAAACGCCTGCACCCCACTTGGCTCCTGCCTCATTCCTCCCTTTCCAACGAATTAAAAGTCTACATTGTGGGACTGATTGTACAGAACACAGTGAGCACCAGTGTTTGCCAAAAGGATTGACAATAATGAATAAACTACAAAAATTGTAAACGACAAATAAAACAAAATAAAAAACTAATTGCTTTTGCGGGTTTTTGTTCAGAAGAGTTGGATGCCTAAATCTTTAGTTTTGTAAAAGAATGCAGCGTTGGAGTACTTCTTACTTTTCTGTGCAATGCCGTGGATCAATAATTGCAATTTCAATAACTTGAAGCAGAAGGACTTTCAGAAGGAATTTGATGGTGTGTTGAGTTGAATGAGGAGACTGGATTCTACTGAGTCATCAATGGACCTCTGCACTAGTTAAAGCATTTTAATGTCAATGAGGCTACAACATCTGTTTAAATGCCGAATTATACCACAATTTCGACTTGACAGACTAGTTGTTCCTGTCTGTACTTATTTTTTATAGAAGGCAAATATAGCAACTTTGAGCCAACAGTTTATGGATCAAAACAAATTTCCAGCCGGCGGTCCCAATTCAAATGCAGGTGAGCACTATAAACTAAACCGATGCTTGGTAACATTGATTTGACCACTTAACGCCGGCTTGTCTAGTTATTGGCGATGGTTTTAATCTGAATTCGGTCACCTGCAGCCGGGTATTTAAAATATGTTGCCCTGAGTGGTACTTTTTCATCTATAAAAGTGTGATACAGTATACGACATGTACCTGTACATGTTCTGAATTGTAATAAAGATTCTACAACTAATACTCATTTATTTTAATATGGCCAGATTCTTGGTGTTTAATTACAGTATTTTGTCAGCACAAAAAGCCACGCAGACTGCTCAGAAAATGGAAACTTTACAATAAATTAAGACTATTCAGCTCCACTGTTTTGTTTTACATATAACTCTTAAGACATCTCTACAATGTAATAAACTTGAAATACATATGGGATGTATTTCCCCGGCCTAACACTCGTTCTATTGTATGTATTTGATATAAGTTGTTACACTTGCCAAATGCTTAATACAATTACAGGATATCTTCGTCTTAAAGACGTAAGAATACAAATTGTTTAAATATAGTGAATACAAATAAAGGAAAAGACAACCAGATCTTTGGTAATGCACCCCTTATTAATTAGTGCTACTGCTACTTAACATTTACTCAAGTATTTTGCTTTCGTACAATTTCTATGTACTTGAATATTTCCAATCGATGTTTTTCACTTTCCAACTATACGTTACACTCGGTGCGGGGGGAGGGGGAGGGAGGGGCGAGGGCGGGACATCCAGCCAACCAACCATGACTCTCCGTACGGACCAATCAGATTGCAGAGAGGGTTCTCTTCCTGTTTAGCTGTGGGAATCATTAACGGGTAAGTTAGATGACATTTATCCCCCCCAAAGTAGAAATAATGATACATATCTGCCCTTGTCTGGAGTCCAAATACACATGTTATATTATTTTTTAAAAATTCTAGCGATAAGTGAGCAGTTTGAATCCGCTTCGTGTTTGGCTATCGTCCGTTGTGTGTGTTAACAGCTAGCTAGCAGTCAGGTTAGCTTAAGAAGAGGCATCCATACCAGGAAATAATTGCTGAATTTTACCGCTGCTTATCCTGTAAAATCCCCCCCCCCCCCCCCCCGAAGAATAATAAATTGTTTTGGACCGGGTTACCTCCCCCACCCCTACCCATTTAAAAGTAAAAACCCATCGTCCCGGTTGCACGGTGCATGAGCGGCGGTGATGGGGGGCATCAAACAGGAGCAGAGTGATGCATCGCAGCAGCCGAAGCCTTCACATTCAGCAGAGCAGCCACAAGATGAGGTGAGTGCTGTTCCACTGTTTGAACGGTTAAACTGCACACTACACATCGTGCGATTAGATCATAACCCTCATCCAAGGAAATGCCTCTTACTTTAACACAATAAACGTTATGCGGTGGGATTTTTTTTAATAGTGTATAAATTAGAGCATGAACAATTATTCCATCCACCTATTATCCAAGATAATATTGACAGGAAACTATTTTAATTATTGAACAATAGTTCAAATTAAATGTGTTATGTGTTAATAATGTGGATGGTTTCTGCTCCTGTCAATCAGTGAATCAAACATCTTTTGCTTCTGGTGTTAAAATGGACTTTACCGACCAATCCGTTGGGAGAGAACCTCGCGTGCCTCTTTATTGATATTGAACATAACTGTTATGTGGTGATGCTGCTTGTCTCCTCAGCAGCCCCTGGCCCCATGTGAGCATCTTTCCCCCTTTCTGCAGCCAAAGAAGAGAGGCTGGCCAAAGGGAAAGAAAAGAAAGAAGGTTCTGCCAAATGGTCCCAAGGCACCGGTAACCGGATATGTCCGCTTCCTCAACGAACGCCGTGAACGTATGCGGGCCAGATACCCCGACTTACCTTTCCCGGAAATCACCAAGAGACTTGGAGCAGAGTGGACACAATTAGCCCTGAATGACAAACAGGTGTGTGGTGTATTTTTAATGTTGTATATTCATCATACATTTAGCGAGCAGTGGGCATCTTGATCGGTGTGATTCGTTCACATCTTTAAAAAGATCAAACCTAAAATAAAGGTCTTTGTCTCCACATCCGCTAACTGATGCTTCCTCATTGAGCCAGTTGGACCGCTTTCTACAGTCGTGGATTTAATACTGCAGGTGTTATTTGCTTCATCTGTCCTGTTTATTTTCCTAAATCCGTTGCACTACGTTATCTTTGCTCGGGCAGCGCTACCTGGACGAGGCGGAACGGGAGAAGATGCAGTACGCCCAGGAGCTGAAGGATTACCAGCAGACCGAGGCTTTTCACATCACCAGTGCGAAGATCCAAGACAAGCGAATCAAGAAAGGTGGCGACCACTGAGCTCTTCATGCGTCTCACTGTATCAGAATCCGAATCAATGTGTCTTGTTACAGCGCGACACACGAGTTTATTTCAGTGCTGTAATGTGCACGTACGTTTTGCTCTTTCAGAAGACACTCCATCTGTTATCATCAGCACCAGTTCAGAGCCCTCGGCCTCAAAGGTACATGACTCATACATATCTTGCCCCTCTATTATCGCCAATGTAATTTTCACGTACATTTCAAACAGCCAAGTTGTTGTTTCTGCCGACCTGTGTGCTTCAGGCGTCTGACCTCACCAGAGGATTCGACATCCCCATCTTCACAGAAGAATTCCTCGATCAGAACAAAGGTAACGGGAGAGTCTGAAAACATCTAATGATCTCATATCATTGCCTGCTGAAGCTCCAGACAGATGTTTCAATTACTGTGTTCGCTGAAATGCTTTTTTTAACAAACCGCCGACCGTAGAGGAGGTTTCATCCAACGCGCCGTGCAAAAAGTAATTGTGTACGTTCTTCTTTTCCGTTGTGCTTTTAGCTCGAGAGGCTGAGCTGCGACGGCTCCGTAAGGCCAACATTGAGTTTGAGGAGCAGAACGCGGTGCTCCAGCGGCACATAAAGGACATGTACAGCGCTAAAGAGCGCCTGGAGGCAGAACTGGGGCTGGACGAGAAGCGCACCCAGGCTCTTCACCAAAACCTGCTGACCATTAAACACACGTTGGTCAACAGCCTGTCATCGGTTCCCCTACCAGGTCACCATGTCACATTATTCTGCTAGATCTGTTTGGTTTAAGAGAACACTGATTTTCTTAAGATTGAATAAATTGTCATGCCTGGCTTACGTTTCTCCGACAGAGGAATCGAGCATTTAAGGGTTCTGTTACGTCTCTGAACAGGTACGGGAGAGACGGCGTCCCATGGGAACCTGGACTCCTACCTGAGTCGTCTCAGCGGAGTGCTGGAGGGAAACCCTCACAAGCATCGGGCACTGGTCACCCAGCTCTGCGAAGTCTTCGCTCAGGTGGACAGGTAACTGATAAAGTTCAGGATCTTCATGGGTGCACTTGAATTCCTACTTCCTACACTGCTGTTCCATACTCTAAGTAATCTGAGTCATTACACAGACAAATGCTTTTGATTATGGTGTCATGGAGCAAGCAGTTTTGAAACATCCATTATTATAAATTTCAGATGTCCCAACTCGTGTATATATATATATATATATATATATATATATATACATATATATATATATATATATATAGTATTTATGGCTGAACATGTTCTGTCATTTTCTAACTCTGCTTTACTTCCTCGTCAGTGAGAAGTTCTGAGGGAGACTTCAGCTGGCGAGCGTCTTCCTGCTACAGAGGGACCCGAGGCCGGCTGGCGGTGTCCGGTCAAGTCCGGGCCAACCGAGCATATGGATATCTCAAGGATAGTAAAGGCAAAGGTGCAAACAGTAAAAAAAAAAAAAAAACACACACACACGGAGTCTGTGCTACATGCCTCTTCTTCATGAATATGTGTACACGGTAGAAAATGTATTGATACGCATGAGTTTTTGTGAATGTAAATCTGTCTGGCGAGTTTTAGGGTTTTTACACTTCAGGAATTTCATTAAATGTCATCTTTAAAATCTGCTTTAATTAAGTTAAATATGGTTGACCCTAACCTCATGGTGTAGTATCTGCAGTTACCGACAGGCTCGTGACCTGTCCAATAACACAAACTGAATTATTTGTTTACAATAAATGCCATTTGGCATTTTATGGCTAACGTGTTGTGTTATTTAGAACGCATGAAAAAAAAAAAACTTAAAAAAAAAAACTGGAAAGGGTGAAAAATAAAACGTTGAGGTTTACATGTTTGAAATTGCATTGATGGTGACAGATTATTGAATGGATAAACTGTTTCAGGATATTCTATATTTGTGAAGTATATATGTATTTTCTAAAATGTTCATTAAACAATACTGAGAATCTTTCCAACAAAAGGTGAATGTGTCCAAATGTTGTTTTTATTTTTCTTTATATAACTGTTCATAAAATTCTCTCACGTTTGGACTCGTTGCCCCCTCTCAAATACACCTGGGTGGGTGGGGCTCTCCAGCAGGGGGGGCTGTCGGCCTAAACCGCTACATGTCTTTGAAACGTTGTGGTAGATCTTCAGCCCACTGACCCCCGACTGACTCGGTCTCACCGACGAACACTAGTTGATGACGAGTGATCTTCAGCTCGTTCTACATGTCGTCACTCTTCTAAATCCACCCGGCTGTGTTGTCATCATTACCTAACCAACTCTCTTAAATCTTTTAAAACAGGCTTTCCAGGCTACAGTCAAAGTAAGAAGTGCTCCACACCTTTCTCCTATAACTTAATGGATGTCCTTTAACCAACTGCGCTGACAAAATCAATCACAATCATATATATATATATATATTTTTTTTTTTATTTTTTTTTTACAGTGTTGATGTATAATTATTTGAGGATTTCCTAAAAATGTCTTCGAGAAAACGTGTTGATCCCCCAGAGGTTCGAGGCCAATAATCCGGTGTCACGGCTTCCCCGCCCCTTCCCGCGCCACCGGCCCCGCTCTGACGTCACCACCAGGAGCTGTTCGCGCAGCGGCGGTGCTGAAGCTGAACAAGATGGCAGTGTGTTGGCGAGCGGAGAGCTGAGAGGGAAAGGGGAGGAGGGGGGGGGAGGGGGGAGAGGCTGGCGGCGGGGGGGGATGGTTGGAAATACTCGGACGGACACGCCATTCATTACAAGTTCAAGGCGGAGGATCGCGACGCCGGCGTTCACTGCCCCGAGCGCCACGATTTGATTCCGTTTTGTGTTGGGATTTTTTTTTTCCGCCAGGCGGAACGAGCCTCTGCCAGGCCCCCGACGGCACGCTGCTCTCCATCTCCGAGCCCCGCTACGGTGCTCCGACTAACCGCTCGGTGAAGAACCGGACCCCCCCTCCCCTCCCCCTGGACTACAGGGCGCATACGAGACATGTCATTGCTGTGTGTGGAGGTAAGAGGACACGTCGGTGTCTCGCTGTGCGTTTCGTCCATCTGGTGTCCACCAGAGGGATTCATCGGTTCGGAGAAGGAGCCCCTCGTCCGTAGTGCGTAAAGGAGAGACATCTTCCACAGGAATGTTTGGATTTATTCCAACACGCTATTCAGTTACTGTGACATATTCTTTTACTAAACCTTCCATCGCTGCCACGGTACCGATTTGTGGAGTAGGCGTGTGTGCCGCTGTCAAACATAGTAAAACAAGAAGTAACCCCGCTCCTTCCCAGTGAAATGATCGTTAACCAGTTTAATTGTCGCCTCAGTTTCCACGCGTAATTGCGCGAACCCTTCCGCCTCCCCCCCAAAAAAGGCGTGTGCAGCAGATACCGGTTTTACGTGCAGTTGGATATTTATTTAAGCCACGTGATTGGTGGCAGCATTCTGTCGATAAATCCCTGCTTCTGAATGCGCTCCAAAATGACACCCGGTTCCGTCTCTAAAACGATTCCAGATTTCCCCAATCGGGTCCAAATTAGTTTCGTCTCGTATTTTGATCTTCTTTCAGTCGCTGGTTGACATTTGTTGGATGATGACAATGTAACCAAAAGAGACAAAAAGATGGTCAGCACTAAACACTTGGATTCAGCCACTGTAATAATTACATGTATGGTTATTTATGAAAATGTATTGGTATTGATTGGTGAAGATTTGGAACATTTCGTGTCACGTGATCAGGGATTTTTATTACTTCTTATTCGCCTGATCTGAATCTTATAGCTGTGAAGTTCATTGTGCACAAGCGATGGCAGGGATCGTTCTGAGATACTGTTTTCCTTTACATCTCATGTAACTGTCTTAATATCCCAGAAGTACTCACGTTTTACTAGGATTATAATCGTGAAGACTCCACAAACACCTGAGCCTTGAACCCGGGTGCCGTTTGGCCCACGCGGCCTGAGGACGGGGGGGCGGTTTGGCGTCGTTCCCTCCCCTAAGATGATGTAAAGATGTGAAAGTGACTCCTTCGAACCTCTCGTGGCGTCTCTGAGGTGTTGCAGCAGACTTATTGTGTGCACGGAGAGGATGCTCTGTTGACGCGCTCATTGCACAGATGTCCGGATTGAAATCCATTCTCATTCCCTTTATGTCCCGAGGCTTTGTTGGCATAGCAACCGCAATGTATTTTAGGTCTCTGCTGGCCTCTTCTCATCGCGCACTTATAACGTTATATTCCTGCAGCCGGGGCTGCATGGATATTATCTACTCTTCACGTGGGCTGGTAGTAGAAAAACACAGCAGTGATGTGAGCACTTTTTACTCCACGTCCACGTCCCGTGATCCCGCCGGATGTGCTGCTTTGAATTCATGCATGTTCAGCTCCTACTGTCACCTTCTGGAGCGAGATGCCAATTCATGCATGGTGACTTTATAACAGAGAGACGTCCTCATTAGTGCCACCTTCCTCTCGTTGAGCCGTTATCCACACATCTATTTACTGACGCAGGCGGATCATTAGTGAACAAAGTACAACTTTAAGGATTCATTGAATTCAGCAGTGAGCCGCCGTTGGCTGGCTCTACGTCTTATTACCATTTCAAACGCATTGCCGTGTTACTGTAACTACTGGGTCTCCCAGAGGACGCACGTGACGACTTCTCAGTTGAAACGTTGTTTTCTTTTTGTGCTAATAAGTCGTTTTTTCATCATACTCTTTACATGCTCCCCCCTTCCCCGATTGCCCAATAGCTCTAAAGTCCGGGCCTCCGAAAAGCCCCCTTTAGGTTGCGTGCAGCGGAGTGTGAGTGAATGCATTTGTCCAATTTCCCCCGGCGAGAGAGAGAAGAGAGAAAATGAAATTCTCTCCTTTCTGTGGCGGAGACTCAACATTTTTCAGTTTGAGGGTTTGCAGAAAATATCCAACTCCTCCTCTCCTCCCTTTCACTCGTCCCCCTGTTCTGTGACTGTAGCAGGGGTGGCTTAGTCTCATGCCTGTGATGTGTCAGCGCACACACACACACACACCCTCCCCCTCCTCCCCCCCTCTTCCTCGCCCATGTCACACTGAAGCGGTTATTTTTAGTGTTGGGGATGCAGCTCGCTCTGCCCGCATCCGGCTGCACACACACACACACACAGAGAGAGAGAGAGTTTAATGGAGCACGAGAGAAACGGAGCACACGTGCCTCCTCGCCACATGGCGGTGGGCTGGGGAGGGGAGGGGGAGGGGGCAGAAGGAGCGAGCGGTGATGGGTGGTGCTGAGGAGAGGGCCGCGTATGAGACGGAGGGAGACGGTGCAGCCGTCGTTTACTGTCTGAAGGAGACGAATAACTCATTCGAACGCCTCTTTGTCAAAGTCTGTGTTCTCGGCCTCCATTGAGAGTAATCTTCCTTCGCTGCGGCTGAAGTACCAGGATGTGGATTTAGTCTGAAGTTGGGGCTACGAACACTTCGCTCCGCCACCTGCTCCATGAATCGCAACCGCGTTTAAGTGAAGTGCTTTGAACCAGGGGTTTGATGGGTTGACGCTATTTCCAGAAGCTAATTTGTCCACAGTGATTCTTTTGTGTGTGTTGCGCTGCCAGTGACAAAGAAAGTCACTCAGAGTGTGTTTCCTTGTCAGCATCACCTCCGCTGCCCTCATTTTTAAGCGATTCTTGATTGAACAACAGGTAGTGTTCATTTATTTAGTTCTTCCTGTTTCAGTAACTGTAAGTCGTACATTATAAAACCATTCTTCTAGCGGCCGAGCATGAACATGCTTACAATACTGATTAATGTGGAGGTCCAATTAGATTTGATAAGTATCAGTTAAAAGAGGCAATCAGCAGGGACAGGGGAAAAAGAAAGAAAAAACACCCAGAGATCTGAATATTAATACCTCAGTGCCGGATTTGAATGAATAATGAATGAATAGTCGACGTCACTGCGGTTTTAAAAGTCAGTCTGGTACCTCCGGCACCGCTCCGTCTTTTACCCCCCTGCTGTCGACCGTCCAGGAATACACGCGCACCCGTCGCTCAGAGAGGACGAGGTATGCGGCCGCTCTCCTCGCCGGCATCGGCCTCTGCTCACGCCTCCTCAAACTGTCCCTCTGGCCCAGTTGTGACTCAGAGACGCTTAGCGGAAGCGGGCTTTCATATTGACACTGTGGCATTTTGAACGGTGAGGTAAAAAGGAAATAGAGGTAGAGAGTAGACCCGCCCCCCTTTGAAATGCCACGCTGCTGTCAATCAAACGGCTTTACTTTAATGTGCATGAGCTGCATGCAGAGACCTGCCCCGATCAAAGGTTAAAGTCACATCCTGCTGTAAACAAAGGCCCGAGGAAAGCCTTTGAGGATTCCCTCAAAGTGGTGGAGTAATGGCTCCGTGAAATATGAAATCTTGGAAAGCTTCCACGGTTTTCATATATTAGCTCACTTCTAACTTATTGTTTGTTTTTCTCAATTCCTTCACAGTGAAGAAAGCCAAGCTCGATGGACCCCAAGGTGAGTTGGATCTCATCCAGTAGTCGCTCATTTTTCAACAAAATCCAAACATTTCCTATAATCACACACAGTGTCATGACCGATGGTGTTCATGTCTCGCTCTTTCACAGAGAAATTTAATACCTATGTGACCCTGAAGGTGCAGAATGTTAAGAGCACCACCATCGCCGTGCGCGGCCTTCAGCCGTGCTGGGAGCAGGACTTCATGTTGTGAGTGCTTCTTTGCCCTCTACATCTTCGGCCCCTTTCCTTATTTTGAGCCTCCCGCGAAGCTGCCGGCGCCTCGTTGCTTATGATTGGCGTCCAGACTTTGCACGGGCTTTAATTCAATAAAGTATTGCAAATAATAATGAGAGCCTTTAAATTAGGAGGGAACGCTGTCACACAGAGCAGGCTCTGCTGTGACATTTATGCTTCCTAAAGGGAGTTATTTTCGCCCTGGTCTTCTTGCCTCCTCTCTCCTTTTGAAGAGGCCGAGGATGACCCGGCTCCAGCAGAGTTCACACAACCAGCGTAGAGGGTTCATTACACCGAGACAGAAAACTGACTCCGTAGGAGAAAAGCTAAAGACAACCGACGACACTGCTTTTATGTTTTAATCTATTCTTTACTTATATAACAACAGCTCTTGTATTTCTGTCACTCACTTCCTCCTCACCTTTACTCCCCACGTTTGTGACGCGACACAAACATTTCGGCCGTTTGCCAGATTCGCTCTTTGACTGCCGAGGAAACGGAACGATGTGTTTTCATATCAGAGCCGTGGATATTATTAGCGTTCGAATTAGCAGCCAGTGAGCTCGGGGAAGCCTGACAATAAGAGATGCTTAGTGAGCTGAAAATCTGCCAGTCAGGTTTGTAACCACTATTTACATTTGCTGCATTGTGGTCCTAATGGTGTGGCGCTTGCTGGAAAGATGAGCAACGATGACTTTTCGGATGAATGTTGTCAGACGTAAATAAAGTCGCTGCCTCCTGTTGTCCTGTCTGTGCTCACTTTGCCATCCCGACAATCACCTCCTCCTTCCATCTTCACGAGTGACTCATATCCCTCTGCAGATTGAATCACAAGGCACATCCATCTCCAGATTTAAGCGCAGCTTCCGATGTTGTAGACCGTATTTCTGTTGAAAGCTCTCTGCGCAGTGATGTGTCTTCATACGAGGCTGCCTCCACTCAGCTTTTTATTACATTCTGTGTCATTTCCTCCTCTTCCCCGTACCTCTCCCTCCCAACTAATCCCTCTCTTTCTTAATCCGTCTCTTTCGTTTTTGCTGGCGAGCAGTGAAATAAACCGCCTGGATCTGGGCCTGACAGTGGAGGTGTGGAACAAAGGGCTGATCTGGGACACCATGGTGGGCACCTTATGGATCCCCCTGAGCAACATACGGCAGTCCAACGAGGTACGCCCCCCCTCCCTCCTCTCGCCGGGAACCCGTTCATAGCCGACGCTTGGCCGACAAGCGATGCCGCTCGCAATCTTTCACTCGTTCATTCCTCTCGCAGGACGGTCCGGGCCAGTGGCTGACTCTGGACTCCAACGCCATCATGGCTGAGAACGAGATCTGTGGAACCAAAGACCCGACCTTCCACAGGCTGCTGCTGGACACGCGCTTCGAACTGCCCTTAGGTCCGTCACGCGGTGCTCATCCCACCTGGTGCCCTATGCATCATAAGTGGTACTTTTCAGATGCAACGAATGTGTGCAAACACAATGTAAAGTAAACCCCAAGCCCTTTACAACGTAAAGGGCTTGGGGTTTACGTTTACAACGGCATGCTGTAGTAAACAACAGCTACAGCATGCCGTTAATGTGCCAAACACTTTCCTATTCACTGCGCTGTCGCTGCTAGCAGTAATCAAATAGCACTACACGGAGTGCTTTCAATTCAGACTGCTTTTAAAATCCATTTCCATTAAATACTGTTGGCCCAACATTGAAACTAATCAATTGGATTTCTCTTTGATTCTTTTCCAGCGCTTACAAAATGCTGAAATGTAAAGACTGATGTATATTTGATGAGCTGAATAGTAACGTGTGTTTGCGTTGCGTGCTGCAGACATTCCCGAGGAAGAGGCGAGATACTGGGCCAAGAAACTTGAACAGCTAAACGCCATGAGGGATCAAGACGTAAGAAGCTTCAACCCCTTCCGCCAGCTGTCATCTATCGTTTTCTCATTTATTCTCACATTTCCTTAACGATCCTTCTGCCACCCAATGTTTCCGCTCCATCTCTTTCTTCGTTTCTTTCCAATTGCACTCCACGGCTGCATGGAGTCAATATTCTTAGCGGCGAGTTTCCTCAGATGTGCCGCATCTCATATTCTAAGACGTGTGTTGTCTTTTTTTACCTTCACTCTCAGTATGCCGACCAAGAAGAACAGGAGCGACCGCTCCATGCGCCGACCACACAGTGCTGTGAGTGTCCTTTCTGCGTCCGCCTCCTCCGTCCTCCCGCTGTGTCCTTTTTATGCCTCCTCTCCTCAACACGAGTAGAATGACTTCTAGGTGCTCCGTGTGTGATAGATGAGGACTGAAATGCGACTGGTTGACAGCCTGTCGGGTTATGATGACACGCGGAGCGAGTGTGTGTGAAGCCCGTACTGTACCTGTGGCTTGTGTGTCCGGAGACGATGCCAGCGTGTGTGTTTTCTCTCTTCTTAGTTACTTAGCAGCACCAAGGCCAGCGGCAGCTGTACTGAAGCCTGTTTGGATCCAAGCTTTTTCTGTAGAACTCGCGTGTGGTTACTCCTTACACATATCCGAACATGCACGCTGACTTGTGGACCCGCTGCTCTTTTTATCTTTAAATAATGAGGTCTCAGTTCTGCAAATCTTTCCACTTTTGTTTATTCGGCTTCGTGATCTGTTTAATTTGCCGCCCGAACCTAATTGGTTCTTTTGGCTTTTATCTCCTTGCAGGTAATTGGAGTCTGTGGGGAGATCAGCAAAGTAAGTTTCTTTAATGCGTTTCTGCTTGTGGCTTGGAGTAAGTCTACATGTATGTATTGTTTAGTTCCCCTCAGAGGCCGTAGGCAGCCATAAAATATATTTTCCTTTCTCCATGTGTCCTTTCTGAACTTCTCTCTCGGCTCAAATCTGAATTCTCCAAAGTCAATCTGGTAGAATTAGATTCAGTGAAGTGCATTGATCTCTGTGGTGTTTGGTGAAGACGCACATACGTTGGGACTATACGATGGTAAATCGACCACAGGTTTATTTTTTGGTCTCCTCCTCCACGATTCTGATGATACCATTCTGTCCCGTCGTCGCTCTTCCTGTGAACAGACGAGGATCCGGACAGCGCCGTGGACGACCGCGACAGCGACTACCGCAGTGAGACCAGTAACAGCATCCCACCTCCCTACTACACCACCTCGCAGCCCAACGCTTCCATGCACCAGTACCCCATGAGGCAGCAGCAGTACATACACAACCAAGACATCCACCAGCTGGACTACGACCACAGAGCCGTGAGGTGAGGAGCGCCTGCAGGCACCGCCGAGCCACAGCTGAGTGTTTTCCTTTCCCTAAAAAAACAAAAAAAAAACCCAAGGAGAAACATTTTGTTTTGGATGAGAAGAACACCAGAAGAAGAATGTTGTAATATCAGTTGTAACATCGCAGTGGCCATCTTCAGCAGATGTTCCTATTTAGAGGCAGCTCGGGCCCACTGTGCTCTCCTCTTCTTTAGAAGAACCCTGGCCTCAGTGTGTACAAGCACGCTGGGGCAGTATGAAGTGGGCCTTTTGTGGTTATCGTTTGTGTGCATGTGTGAATGCGCGTGTGCATGTCGGGTGAGTGAAAACCCCATGTAGCAGCTCTCTGTGCAGAGAGTAAGAGCAGTAAGAACATATTTTTGCAAGGTGGCAGATGATTTTAATTCATGCATCGCTACAAAAAGCTGAAGCCGAAGGTCTTTACCAGATATCAGAAGGTCAAAATGCATCTTTGTAGTGCGAGGTGACAAGTAGGGGACACAATGAAGGTGGTCCGTTCCAAAGGGACAGTGTTTTTGACACAAAATGCCCTCTTTGTGTTTCCTTGTTGAGCTGAGGAGGGACAGTATTCCAATACATAGATAGAGAAATATACTGAGTTAAACAACTCTGCTTCACTGGTATTCATTTAGAAAGACGTTATTTACACTGTGTGCACAAGGGAAAATAATCTTTTAATGGCCAGTATGACCAGTACGTGCAGGCTCAGCTTGGTTAGATCTTTCTTTTTGCACTGATGCTCCTCTCCCACCTCTCCCCTCTCCCCCTATGCCTCCCTCCTTACTCCTCCTGCCAGACGCTATGATAGTTTAGAGTCGGCCACCAACGGGCGCAGCGAAATCGACTCCGGCTCGGGGTCGAGCCGGCGCACCAGTCGCCAGTATTCTCTAGACAGTAGGCGCTCGCTGTCCGATAGGTGGGTCTCTGTACCTCCTCTCCAACTCCTCCTCTTTCCTTCCCGCTCTCGCTCCGGCCTGTGACTCCCGTCTCGCTGTGACGTCAGTGGTGGACTTGTCCCGTCCCCTTCGCTCGCTGTGCTTGCATGCATGTGCTCTTACTCTATTTCCTGTATATGTATATGAACTATTGTACAGAAGAAAAAAAAAAACTAGTGCGCCTGCATCTACGGCTGCTGTTTCCCTCCTGGCGAAGAATCACAAATCTGTTTTCACAAATGATGCATCACTCTCATCCTTTGCCTTTGTCAGACTCGGCAGTTTTGTGTCTTTTTGTGTGTGGGTGAGGGGTTGACGGGTTCTGTGTGTGGGTGTCGTCTCAGTCAGAGACAGAGAGGTTAATTGTCGGAGTGTGTGTGTGTGTGTGTGAGAGAGAGAATCTGGTGTTGCGGCAGCCTGTTATTACAGCCTCTTCCTCCGTGTGAGATCTTAAGAAGAGCCCTGTCTTGTCCTGGGTGTCCCGCACTTGTTAATTATGAACATTTAATTTCCACTTGTTTCCACTAAGACAGCATGAGGCCCGAGTATGGGGCAGCCTTAAGAGGCACTTAGGTACATGTTCTTCATCGTTTCATTTCTGTTTCTTGCAAAGAAGCGGGGCAGACATGTGTGCAGACCCGTGCGTTATGCAAGCATTTGTCTCTGTCTGTGTCCGTCTTTGTGTTGGATGAGAGAGAGATCGGGAGATGGGCGACGGAGGGAGAGAGAGAGAGAACAGGATTGTGTGAGTGCTCGTTGTGTATTCCCTCTGGCTCACAGCCCAAAGCCACAACACGGTTCCCTCCTTTACTGCTGCCGCACCATAAGTTATTGAACCAGCGTGACTGTAATCAATACGGACAAAACAATCAGTGTGTGTGTGTGTGTGTGAGCATTTTCTTTTGCATGCGTCTCAAATCTCTCTGTGACTCATGGTCTGCCTCGATGCCTAATAGCCACATTCATCATCGCGAATAAATGTTATTCCCTTCTTTATCTTATTTGCTCTGCCAGGGTAATACAGCCTGAATAGGTCCATTCACATATCTGATTCACTCAAAATGTCTTCTTGTGTTTTTGCTAATCGTGTGCTTTTGTATGCTGTGTGTTTCTGTATTTACCTATTACTAAAAAGATGATTCTCCTCGTAGATGCATCGATGCATCACTAGCCCAACCCCCCACCCTCCCCCCGCCCTCCCCCCTCATTGGTTGGATAAAGATGCTCCTCTGCTCTAATTGGTTATCAGACACACGTCCCCGACAGTGTCACTGTGACAGCTGAGCTCCTCATTGTGCGGGAAACTCCCCCAGTTTTCCGTTTGTGTCTACCTAACGAGTGTCCGTATCCCCCCCCCCCTCAGTCCCACCGACAGCCGCTACGCCTCGTCGGGCGAGCTGAGCCGCGGCAGCTCTCAGCTCAGCGAGGAGTTTGTCGGCGAGGACGGCGGGAGCCTGCGAGGCTCTGAGTTCTACGATGAAAACGACTCCTACCACTCCTGCCACTCCTCCGTCAGCTACGGCAAGGAGGATTCCCCGGTGTGGGACGGTGAGGACCCCCAGGGCGTCTACAGCGACGAGGGCGGCTACCTGAAAGACGGAGGGGAGGAGGGGGCGCTGTACGCCGGGGAGGATGGTAACCTCTACGGGGAGGGAGGAGAGTACCACTACGAGGATGAGGAGGAGATGCCTTTCGAGGAGGAAGAGGAGGAAGAAGAGGAGATGTATCCCCTCGACGGCACTCTCGGTGAAGAGCAGGAGGCGCCCTACACCCCGACGCCCACGAGCAGCGCCGCCGCTCCGACGCCGGCCCCCGACCTCCTGTCCTCCGCCAGGCCGCCGCTGGAGAAGCAGGCCACGCTGCATCAGCAGCGGCCGGCCCACGAGGAGCTCCGAGGCCCCCGACCCGCGGCCACACAGGGCGACGCGCCGGCCGCTTTCGGGGCGGAGGCCCCCAAGGCCCTGTTCGCCCCCGCCCAGCCGGCACTCTCGGCCGCCACCACCACCACATTCACCCCAGCGACGGCATCGCAGGCGCCAGCTCCAGATACCGAGCTCCTAGGGCCCGAACCAAAGCCAGAGGCGCCGCCGGAGGGGCCTCGGCCCCCCGAACAGCAGCAGCAGCAGCAACAGCCGGCGGCGCCGGCGGCAGAGAGCGTTCCTCCGGCTCTGGAGGAGAGATTGGAGGAGCAGCCGGTCTCAAGGTGAACGCCGTTCATACACTGTCGGCCTCTAGACAAAAGAAACAGGATTTCACCCACATTCAGTACACATACTGATACCCGAAGGAGACGCACAGCACACAAAACGTGAACCAGCGCCAATTCCAGTTTGAAAAATATATGTGTATATCTTATATATATTTTTAATACTCATGTTTACTCTAACGGGATAAATGTTATCAGATAATTCTCTCCAGAATGACTCTACATTCACTACATCGTCTAACAAAGAGCCCGTATACGAATAACCTTTTTTTCCCCTCAATCATTCATCTAGCTTCCCAAAGAGGGAAGTCTTGCCACCCGGATACGCGAGAGCCAAATCCAACTGGCTTCGACTTTTCAGCAGAGTGCGGCTACAGCTGCAAGAGGTACAACCTGCACGTGTGTGTGTGTGTGTTTCTTTTGTTGCTCTGGTTTAAATCATACGTCTATTTGAGCTTAGTGACTTGTTGCATCGGTCTCTGCATGTTCTACTGTCAATGTGTTTTGTTTCAGCTTTTGTTGGTTAATGCAGTGGATGCGTTTTTTCGTGTGTTTAATCGTTTCCTGTTCACCCCTTGCCCCGTTTTGCTGTTTCATTATTTCCCTTTCAGTTGTTTGCCATCCTCGTAGCGATTTGCATGTTGTCCATTCCGATTCCCCGCGGCTGGGGGCGACGCTCAGGTGGGTGTGCTCGGTGGCGTGTTGATCAATCTGATTTATATTTCATGTTTCCAGTGCAGCTCATAGATATTAACGACCCGCGTCGTTGGCCACACATAGGAAGACGCCGTAAGCCCTCGCACGTCTCACAGACGCAGACACAATTAGACGAGTGATCACGTGGACCCCCCATCTGGCTCTAATCTACTTTTATTTCCTTGATTCTCAAATGCACAGAAGCCACTGCTGATGTCAGCGATTCCACACTCCTCGTTATCGCCCCCATTCCACTTTCAATATACCACTGCTGTATTACTCATTTATGAGTTTTGGGAACGCTTTCACTCCAGCACCCTACAGTATGTCTTGATATTGCTGTTCTCAGTGCCTCCTATGGTTTCTCTCTTCCAGGCCCGAGGAGAAAGTGTCGGCATCGCCTCTCTGCTTTTATCAGCGGGGTAAGTAACCATGATGCTGTTACCACTGAGGTCATTGCAAATTTATAACTCGCCAGCTCATGGTCATCATAACCGCACGTGTCTATTGTATAATGGATCCTCGTTAGCTAATGTTGAAAGGTGCTCTGTGCATGTTTCCATCTCCAGGATGGGTGGCGCTCTGTACAGCATTGACAGTATGCCTGACCTCAGGAAGAGAAAAGCTATGCCTCTCGTCAGAGATCTGGTGAGCTTCTGCGCTAACCTCTTCAAACGTCCCGTGACTCTGTGTGTCACATCTCTCCGGTCCATCAACCGCTCAGCTCCGCAGCGAGAGCTCTCATACGTCAAAACCTGCTTCCGTTTCCCGTGTAATTCTCAAAGTGCCCTTTCACATCTGATTACCTTCCACCTTTTCTTCCATACTGCCTTATGCCCCACTGCCCTACATCCTCAACGGCTACCATACGATATACTGGTCCTGCAGGGTCCGAGGACCCACTGGCACGGCCAGATGTTTCTTATGACTGACACTGCTGTCATATAACAGACCGTTTCATTGCCCCGATGCTGCCATCGCCCCCCTGTGTCTCCCTCACATTGCCTAGGAAGAAATATAAATCCTCTGGGAGTCACATATTCATAGACGTCACCTTATCTGGATTACTTTGCTCTATTACAAAGACGAATGAGCAGGTTAGCTTGTCCAAAATACTAATTATACACCGATAAACACAAAAATACTAATTCAGTGCTAAAGTACATTACATCACTAAAGCTAATGACAATATCCGCTCTCAGGAGAGAAATGTGGGGTAAAAAAAAAAGCATTTGCCACAGTAAGAGGGCCGCCCTCGGGTTGCTTTCTTTCTATTCAGGCCTCGCCCCACACACACACACACACACACACACGTAGTTTGCTCAGAGGCTGTCTTCGTTAATAATGACCTTTGACTTGGCGCTGACGGGGCCTCACAGGCAGGTGCCGCGGTGTTTCTCTGCCTCGCTCTGTCGCAGCTCGTCGGGGCGTCTCCGGTAATTGATCGGACCGGGTGCCGCGGCCGCGGCTTAATGAGCCCTGATGGCAGGCCGCTCCGTTCACATATCAAATACTTAGCTCTGCTTGCCTGTGACTTCCTTCCCTTAAGGTCTTCACATGTGACTGTAGATTCTACTTTCTATTTTAATGTGGGTGTCCGTTCTCTCCAAGTCAATAAATACTGTGTATGTGCAATAAATGCATCCTTTTTCAACTATTCTCTATGGAATAATCCCCCTTCGTCTGTCTTGCCCTTTTCTAATATTACTTTTCATCCCTTGTCCCTCCCACCCTCACTGCGCCGCTACAGGCCATGGTGAGTTACACCCTTTTCTTTCAAAACACTGAACACCATTCAGGGGAACAATTTCTTTGTCTAAAAAAATGTGGGGATGGGCGCTGAGAATAACTGACCCGTCCGCTTTCCTGTCACTCAGTCCTTGGTTCAGAGCTCCAGGAAGGCTGGCATCACCTCGGCCCTGACCTCCAGCACCCTGCATAACGAAGAACTGGTCAGTGCTCCTTTACGCTATTTATTCAGAGTATCCCACGTCGGGTCAAAGGTCCTTCTAGCACACTCGAGCTGCACCCCTGCACTCTCTCTCTCTTTTCTGTAGAAGAGCCACGTCTACAAGAAGACCCTGCAGGCCCTCATCTATCCCATCTCCTGCACCACGCCGCACAATTTCGAGGTGTGGACGGCCACCACGCCCACCTACTGCTACGAGTGCGAGGGGCTGCTGTGGGGCATCGCCCGCCAGGGCATGCGCTGCACCGAGTGCGGAGTCAAGTGCCACGAGAAGTGCCAAGACCTACTCAACGCCGATTGTCTGCAAAGTAAGCCAAAAGTCAAACGCCACCACCCTTCATTCTAGCCCCCGAGGCACCGGTAATAAGCTGGATTTGAAATGGGATGATGAATGGGTAAGAAAACACACCCATCTCTCCGTGCTAGATATAAGGCCACAGCTTGGAGACCGTTAGCTTAGCTTAGCGTAAAGACTGTAAACGAGGAAGAACAGGGAGCCTGACTTTTATCAACGGTTGAAAAGTGAAGTTCATCAGGAAGCTTGTTCATCCAACGCTCTGCAAGGTAGGAAACATTTGTATTTCTTACAAGGTTTTGGGTTTATAGAAAAATCCACAGTAATAATAATAATGACATAAAAACAACCCAATCAGTCTTATCACATGGTCTTCAGTGTGAGATGTTGATCAAATACAGCATGACATTTTTACAGGAGCTGAACAACCATTTGCTGACTTTATGTTCTCGAGGCGTCGTGCAGATGTTGCTGCCGTTTTCTTGTATTAATGATGGTAAACTGTAGTCCATCTATTTCCTCTTAAATCTATTCGTCAAAGCCAAGCTTCAATCCCCCTCCTACACCTCCTTGCTTTCTTGAGAGGATATTAAAAGCCGTTTGTCTTTTGTTGTCATCCATCTCTTCCTGGCTCTTTTTTCACTCAGCATAGTGGGCCCGCCTCTCATTCATGCAATATATATATATACCTACGCAGTCTTCTTATCTGCTCTAAACTCTGTTTCAAATTTCCCTATGATTTGTAGAAAAGCACCCTGCAATTTTCTGCTATTCTATTCGTCGAGAGCCAACTTATAACCCTGTTGTTTCTCCTTGTGATTTTCACTGTAACCAGGAGCGGCGGAGAAGTGCTCCAAGCACGGCGCCGAGGACCGAACCCAGAACATCATCATGGTTCTCAAAGACCGCATGAAGATCCGCGAGAGAAACAAACCGGAGATTTTCGAACTCATTCAGGAGGTGTTCGCCGCCCCCAAGGCCACGCACGTCACCCACATGAAGCAGATCAAACAGAGCGTCCTGGACGGCACCTCTAAATGGTCGGCCAAGATCTGCATCACAGGTGAGAGGGGAGTCCAATCGGTTTGGAAACGGGTCGCCGAACGGAGCCGTCCGACGCCGTCAGCATCAAAGTCAGCAGGGACGGCGCACGGCAGGGGGGGGGGGTTGTTTGTGGGGCAGAAGAGAATAAGGTCGGGCGATTCAGCAGCCGTCTTTTTGCCTCCAATCGCGCGCAGCGGCTGACTAGCTTTGTTTTTTTTCTCCCTTTCTTCCCAGTGTTGTGTGCTCAGGGTCTACAAGCCAAGGATAAAACCGGCTCCAGTGATCCTTACGTCACCGTCCAGGTGGGAAAGACAAAAAAGAGGACCAAGACCATCTATGGCAACCTCAACCCGGTGTGGGAGGAGACATTCAACTTGTGAGTCAAGAACTTTAAAGAAGTTTTAACCACCAGTATTACATCAAATAAAACGCGTTTCTTTAGAGGCCCAAGACGCTTAAAGGTCTATTCATCCAATATGTCGTTTTTCGCTCAAAACAATGCGTCGTGACGGTCGACCCGTCTGGTCTCCTGTCCCCTTTCAGCGAGTGTCACAACTCCTCCGACCGCATCAAGGTGCGAGTGTGGGACGAGGACGACGACATCAAGTCCCGCGTGAAGCAGAAGTTCAAGCGGGAGTCGGACGACTTCCTCGGCCAGACCATCATCGAGGTCCGCACCCTGAGCGGAGAGATGGACGTCTGGTACAACCTGGGTCAGTGGGAGGGCCTCACAGTTGTTTGAGTGACTTAACTTCTCCGAATGGGATGTTTTCAGTCCGGTGACCGTGTTGCTGTGTGTCTCTGTGCTCTCCGCAGACAAGCGCACGGACAAATCGGCCGTGTCCGGAGCCATCCGCATGCACATTAATGTAGAGATCAAAGGAGAGGAGACGGTCGCCCCCTATCACGTTCAGTACACCTGTTTGCATGAAGTAAGCTCAGTGTTTTGTGTGTTTTGAACAAGTCAAAAATGGATAAAATACATCGAGCGCTGTACTTGAATGCCGTTTAGAAGAACTGTTTTTGGTTTTTTATGGGCTTTCCGTGAGACTTTATGCCTTCGGCACTCGATGTTTACATTTTTAAATCGCTGCATTGACTTTGAACAGGTACATTTTACAGCTCACAGTGGTAATGCAGCCCACGCCTTGAATCTGTACTCACGCGTACTGTGTTTTATCTGTGAGTATCTCTGTGAACATGAATCTTCACGCCTAAAACTGTTTCATTTACTTGAATGTGAAGTTCAATCACAGACTTGGAAGGCGTCACTAATCAGCCCGTATCGTATTAGCTGAACCTCAACAGACAAATGTCCAGTGTTATTGCTGCACATAAGAGGCCATAAGTCAAAACGGCACCTTGTGTGTGCCTCATAATGTAGTTTAATGGCTATTTAAAGCCATTTAAAGATGAACCAATGTTCAAATCTGCTCGTTTTTTTTGTACAAAAAAATCTGAGTTTACAGACAAAGACGTGCGGCTTCTTCTGCATTTCCTCTCACCTATTTTTCTTTACCCTTTGTTCAATTCTCCCTCACTAACTCTTTTCTACTTTGGTCCGCGTAGAACCTCTTCCACTATGTGACCGACATCCAGAACAACGGCGTGGTGAAGATCCCCGACGCCAAAGGGGACGACGCGTGGAAGGTCTACTTTGAGGAGACTCCCCAGGAGATCGTGGACGAGTTCGCCATGCGCTACGGAGTGGAGTCCATCTACCAGGCCATGACGTACGAGACCCCCCCCCCCACACCCGGAAACCTTATCGTATCGGCCCTGTGTGTTTTTTCATGCGTCATTAATCCTCTATTTGCCTGCACATCCCTCCCTCCTCTGCAGTCACTTTGCCTGCCTGTCATCTAAGTACATGTGCCCGGGTGTGCCGGCGGTGATGAGCACCCTGCTGGCCAACATCAACGCTTACTACGCGCACACCACCCAGGCCACGAACAACGTCTCTGCCTCAGACCGCTTTGCTGCTTCTAACTTTGGGGTGAGTGGCGGCAGGAAGCATTAAATGCAACATTTCCGTTCATTAGATCCATCGGCATTGCTTTTCTTTGCTGTGTGTCTGCCACGTGTAGAAAGAGCGATTCGTCAAGCTTCTAGACCAGCTTCACAACTCGCTGAGGATCGACCTGTCCATGTACCGAGTAAGTCCTTCCTCCCATCCAACAAGCGCACGGTGCACGAGGATGGACGGGGAATCACGTGCGTGTTTTTTTTCTTTTCTTTGTCTGACTGCAGAACAACTTCCCGGCCAGCAGTCCTGAGCGGCTGCAGGACCTCAAGTCCACCGTGGACCTCCTCACCAGTATCACTTTCTTCAGAATGAAGGTACCGTCCCTTCTTTGGTTTTTGTCTGTCAATTTCTTCGTTTTTTTTTTTTTTGCAGTACACCCGCCAGACCCAAGTTCACTCGCCCGCTTTAACGTTGTGTTCAGGTCCAAGAGCTTCAGTCTCCGCCCAGAGCCAGTCAAGTGGTGAAGGACTGCGTCAAAGCCTGCCTCAACTCCACCTACGAGTACATCTTCAACAACTGTCACGAGCTGTACAGCCGCGAGTATCAGACTGACCCGGTGAGAAGCAGCAGCTTATAAAACATCTGTGTGGGTGGGAGTGAAAGCGTGTCTGTTCCCCCTCTCTCGTATCATTTCATTTCAATTTGATTTATTGACCTGACTGTAATTTACTACAGTGTTGGAATGTAGTTCTGGTCCGACGCTATGACGCTATGTTTGGTACCGCGTATTAATAATATCCTACGTAGGTTTACTTTTAGTAGGCTCCGGAATAGATTACATCGGATGTGTTGATATTAACAGATTTCAACATTTTTTGTTGTTGTTGATGTCTCAACAACTGCAGACTCATAGTTGGTCTTAGTAATCATCTCAAACTTTGCTTGCAGTTTTCTTCATTAATAGTTAATAATTACAAAGAGCTGTTCCCTGGAGATACTCAGACCTCGTTTTGAATGTTAAACATTGTTTGCTTGTCGTCTGTGTTTTGCTCAGTGCGTCTGTTAGTGGTGATTCTCCGTTCCTCTCTCAGTCAGCGGAGACTCTCCCATCCATCACTCCTGCATCGGATTTAAACAGGGATTTCTAGATCTTACTTTAAATCGTCATTAAAACGGAAACTCCATTAAGACTCCCGCGTGAATTTCAAATGTGCATTTTTCACTTGACTGACCCCTTGCTGGGGTTCGTCCAAATTCTTCACTTCCCCGTCCCTGCAATGCTCGGGCGTAGGTTTTTTAAATTTCATTAACTTATCCAGCGTGTGTTCAGTATTGCCAAAAATGTGTGTCCTGATCAGCGGGTCGATACCCCCCAAAGGAGTAAATGTGTGCTTCTCCAGGCTAAACAGGGGGTCGTGCCTCCGGAGGAGCAGGGCCCCTGCATCAAGAATCTGGATTTTTGGTCCAAACTCATCACACTTATCGTCTCCATTATCGAAGAGGACAAGAACTCCTACACTCCCTGCCTAAACCAGTGAGTCTCTCTCCCCCTGCTCTCCGTATTCACTCCCGTTTCCTTTCCAATCTCCTCTCCGCTGTTTGTTTTTTGCAGCTCTTATCTGCTCTCCGTGTCATTTGCCTTCTCTCCCTAAGTGCACACACTGTCCCCTTTCCTCCTTCTCTCCTGCATTCAGATTTCCCCAGGAGCTCAACGTGGGTAAAATCAGCGCTGAAGTGATGTGGAACCTGTTTGCTCAGGATATGAAGTACGCAATGGAGGGTGAGTGCAATGTTACACTGAGCCTTCACAGATCAACGCAGCTGCACGGACACACAAATCCGTGTGAACGGATTGAGATGTGTAGAGTTGTTTTCATTGGTTTGAACATGTAGAAGGATGTTTTAATTACTATTTGACTGCATTTTCATCAATACCTGGTTTTTGGATATCGGCCAATATGGATTACAGATTCCATAGCAGAGGTTAATTATTAAGTAAGTAAGAAAGTGACTGGGATCATAATAAATCCAACTATTTGAGTCAATATCTGACCGATAACAGCATCAGTGCATCTCTAGTTTTGGTAAAGCTTTTGGAAAAGTTTTTCCATAAGATAGTTATTTAATGACATTGCTCATTAATGATCTCAGGCTTTGAAAAGTTAACCGATTGTGTAAATAAAGAATAAATAATATATTACATATTACAATACACTGAAAGCACAACGGGACTTGCTGACCTTGCAGGTACACAAAGCTCAAATGCCTGCAGATAAACGTGTGTTAACTCGCGTTTGTCTGCTAAATTTCAGAACACGAAAAGAATCGCCTGTGTAAGAGTGCAGATTACATGAACCTGCACTTCAAGGTCAAGTGGCTGTACAACGAGTACTGCAAAGACCTGCCCTTCTTCAAGAGCAGAGTGCCTGAATATCCTGCGTGAGTAGCAGCTCCTTGAATTGCACTGCAAACATTGTCTGATTTGAGCTTTTTTGAGTTTTATACTTTGACTTTTTTTTATTTTTTATTTTATCTTCTATTTTTTTTTTTTATTGGTAATCTATATCCCACTAGCCCATAGCCTTCTATTTTATACTGTAGAGTTAAATTGTCAATTGTACATGCCCCTTTTGTTATTTTGTCTTGTTTGTTGTCCATTGTCTCATTGTCTTACTGTCCAATGTTATGCAACAACCGCCATGTTAAATTCCATGTATGTCTAACACATTTTGGCTATAAATGTTCCTGATTCCCGTTTCTGCTCTCCATAGGTGGTTTGAGCCATTTGTTATTCAGTGGCTGGATGAAAACGAGGAAGTGTCTCGGGACTTCCTGCACGGTGCTTTGGAGAGAGACAAAAAAGATGGGGTAAAAAATGTCCCGGCTTCTCCTTATCTGCCTTTCACACCTCTGCAGACGCCGAGTCGCTATTGTTTGTCCGTGCAGGATTACTGTAATCCATCCCCTGTACTTCCTCTGCCACGCTCAAAGTTATCAACCAAAGCCTCATCCTCCCTCCCGCTCTGCACCCGACACCTCCCCCCGTCTCTCTCCTGCGTTCCTCAAAGGCGACGGAGGCGCTGCGCTTTTATAAAGCGACTCTTTGGAAGTTCAAAGAAGCGCGGTTCGAGGCTTGTAGTTAAGTAGCGAGACAATTCCGCGACGGACGGATGTTGTGAGTTATTGGGCTTGTTCCGTAGTTTAGACTGCCTGCACCTCGCTAGCGGGGCTCCCCAGAGGAGCACGAACACCGTTACGTTAGGGACCAGGTGCTAACCAGCAGTCAATCACAGGGAGACGGACAGGAGCTCCCAACTGTCCGCGGCCTAACGGGCTGCGTGGATGCTCGTCTGTAGGCGGCCTGAGGCCACGTGCACGCGGCTAAAATGGCGCCTAATGGTGTGTGTGTATATTCGGTCTACCAGGGGGGCTCCGGAGGTGACGTCTTGCTGGCTTCTCACCTGCCACTCTGACTCATCACCTAAACGCCTCTTCCCACGTTTTTTTAATCTCCTCGCACACCTTTTTTTCCGCCCGACAGTTCCAGGTCACTTCAGAACATGCTCTGTTCTCCTGCTCGGTGGTGGACGTGTTTTCCCAGCTCAACCAGAGCTTTGAGATCATCCGGAAGCTTGAGTGTCCCGATCCGCTGATTGTGGGACACTACATGAAGCGGTTCGCTAAGGTGAGTTTGAGTTCAATGTGCAGTCGAATCCCACCTTGTGAAGATCAGCCTGGCGACGAGTGACCTGCTGCTCCTCCTCCTCGTTTCCCTCTCCAGACGATCAGCAACGTGCTTCTCTCCTATGCCGACATCATATCCAAGTTGTTTGCCAACTACGTCACCATGGAGAAAGTGGTGAGTGGCCAAACACCGCAGTGACCCCAGCTCGGCCTTTGAAGAGGAAGGTTGATCCGCTCGTCTTTCTGTCCTCAGCCGTGCATCCTGATCAACAACATCCAGCAGCTGAGAGTTCAGCTGGAGAAGATGTTTGAAGCCATGGGGGGAAAAGACGTGAGGGATTCTCTTGTTTATGTTTTTCTCTTGAGTTTCAACTTGCAACTTCCACCATGTCAGTTTTATGAGCGCGTGTGCCAGTACCAGTTCCCTTTAAGCCGGGGTTTGCAGTTCGTTTTTGGTATCAAATGTCCAAGAAGGTCGTTGTAACCTTTCAGCATGCTGTGCTTCCAATGGTCCGAGATAAGACACCTCCACGCCAATCATTGGTCATTCCCCATGTGTGTGCTTCCATGTTTGTCCGGTAGCTGTGCCTGGAGGCCAGCGAAATCCTGAAAGACCTGCAGATTAAGCTCAACAACGTCATGGATGATCTCAGCAGGATCTTTTCTGTCAGGTAGAAACACTCATTCATGCACAAGATCACATGAATGTGTCGTATATTTAGACAGACCGTCACACACACACACACACACACACACACACACACACACACAGTGTGGACTTTGTTGAACGACTCCTCTGCTTCTCCCCTGTAGTTTCCAGCCTCACATAGAGGAGAACGTGAAGCAGATGGGGGACATTTTGGCGCAGGTGAAGGGAACCTCAAATGTGGGAAACGCCAGCAGCGTTGCACAGGACGCTGACAACGTCCTGCAGCCCATCATGGAGTTCCTTGACAGCAAGTGAGGCCATTTAAAAAAGGGAATGTTCAAGTCATTATTTTACCCGCAAACTTTGTCTCTGAGCGCCAGTTGAAGGTATGTTTTCACTGGTCATCATAGTGGAGGTCAATGTGCAGATGTGGGTGAAGCTAAGTGGCTAACAGCGTTTCATACACACAAGTTCATTATTTTATAGTAGTTTCTCTACTTTTGGGAGAAACCTCAACGTGATTCCATTGCCTTTTTTCCGATTTTGCCAAGTTAATATTATCCCTGAATATAAGACGGAGATATAAGGGACTAATAAAGATTCCTGCCTGGTGAATAGAAGGAGAAATTCTTAGCGTTGAAGAAACACGGCGCTTGCCTCCATCTGCTGCTTGTTATTCATCACTCCTTCCTGTCGCCCCCCCTTCTCCCTGCCAGCTTGACTCTGTTTGCTAAGATCTGTGAGAAGACCGTGCTGAAGCGCGTGCTGAAGGAGCTGTGGAAGCTGGTGATGAACACCATGGAGAAGACCATCGTCCTGCCGCCGCTCACGGACCAAACGGTGAGAGCGCGCGGACGCACACCGAGACGTGCACGGCCTCACAAACGCACACACGGCAGCGATGCCGAGCCGCACACCGTATAGGCACTCGAAGCCGACTGTGCCCGCTGCTCATGCACGAAATGATTATCTCCTTTTTAATGTTGCTGAGTATCCACATATGTGCGCGTGGGGATGTTGCTGTGGAGATGTACGAATAGAGGGAAAGATTATCAGCTAAACCTGGAACGCACACGTTCCTGAACGCACACCTCCAAACTGCTGAGGCAGCGTCAAACGAACGAGGAGGAGGAGGAGGAGGAAGAGGGAAGTAAGGAAAGGAAATGCAAAGGCAGACATTTTGTGCGTGTTGCGATTCAAGATGGCCCTCCTATAAGCGACCGGTCTCCGTATGGCAACCTGACACACACATTATACTTAACCCGTCGCCCCGGGTGCCTTCGTCCATACAAACGCTCAAGGCGAAATGCTTCCCTTAAAGCTGAAAAGGAGTGCACCATATCATTCTTGCACCGGCTCATGGCTGCTCTCCAGTAATGTCAGCCAGACAATTATCCGGAGAGATTTCTGATTTCTGAGTAACTCATGTCAAGTGGCAGAGAATATTTGCCCAAAAAGGATCTGACCCACTTCCAAAAAAAACTCCCCAAAAGAATCACTGCATTTTGGAAAGCAGCCTCTTGTTTTATTTTGTTTTGGATATATGTGTTCTTATTTGTGTTTGGTTATGAATTAAAGAGCCTCATATCACTTATAACAGAGTGATAATTAATCTCTGGGTACCGTGTTCTGTGCTTTCCAGTCATCAAAACCACTGGCTGAGCCTCAGTTAGCGCCCGACTAACTAACCCCGCGTGGCTGTTAAAGGCCCAAACTCTCATTGTCTCAATCCCGACACACTTCATAGTACTAAAGTAACGAAACCACCGGCCCCTCACTTCTCCACCTGCACGTAGTCCAGGCTTCACACATCCATTGGTCCACGTCCCTCCAGCCCGAGGGCCCAAACTTGTGTTTTTCATTAATTTTTTTTTTATTGATGTGGGGCTCTTTGCAGCTTGACTGACCCTTTTCTCTGGTTGTTGTTGTTGTTGTTGTTGTGATTACTATTACATCCCGCTCCCACCGCTCTTCCTCCACAGATGATTGTAAGTACAGCACTCCTGCGTGTGTGTCTGTCTGTCCGTCCACGGTGGTTGGTCCTTTGGCTAAATGTGGCTGCGATCGTCCCCTGTTTTTTTTGACCCCACATCACACCCTGTCCCCCTCTCTGGCAGCCTCTCAGATCTGTCCCGATCTGTCTCCTTCTTGTTCTTCCTCTACTCCTTCCTCTCTTTTTCTGCCTCCTCCTCTCCTTGCCTCCTCCCTCTTCTCTTCACCTTCCTCCAACACTGTCTCTCCTCCAACAAGACAGAAGCATGGTGCATTCCTGACTGGTTTCTGATCAGTCTGGTCCCACAAACCTTTCAAAAAATCCCCACCCCCTTCAAACCCCCCCTTCGTCTGGTGTCTCTTTTTTCCCCGAACTCTCTCCTCAGACAGGAAGTGGTTCTCCTCTCTTCCGTGTTGCCTTGTTTCCTCCTCGTGCATCGTCTCATTACACTGGGACTCGGGTGGGGTGACTCTGACCTCTTGGCGCCTCGGTATCTGATGCCCCCCCCCTCCCTCAAACACACACTCCTCCTCCCTCCCTCACTGTCCCCACCTGTCCCACCTGTTTGAACTGTTCCCCCCCTCTTCCCGCCGCCCACTGTGGGTGTGTTGCTTGCGTCTGATCTATTTGAACTCAGCATACCGAGCCGCCGCGCTGTGCTGTACGTCCCTGCAGGCCTGTCGTTGTTGGTCCGTCCCGGTTTGAGTTGATGTTCTGTCGTTGGTTGTGATGCTGGTGTTGTGTCACTGGTCCCGGATGCGCAGAACGCGCTTTTCTAACCAGATGTTGTCGGTTCCAGCCTTAATGTCTTTGACCCGTCTATTCCGCGGTGTGCTTGATGATGCAGGAAGTGACGTGTTTCCCGAGGAACATACTTGACGTGTGTTTCTGGGCAGCGTTTATTTATTGTGTCTTTTCCAGTGCGGTGAGGGAACTAATTAATTAGCTTAACTTAAAGACCATTAGCGGCGGGGAAGCAGCTAGCGCGGCTTCCTCCAGTTCACCAGAACCTCCAAAGAAGAACCAAGCAACGTGTTCCGACTCATCAGCTCTTTCTGTACACAAACATTTCAATGGAAAACTGTGGATCTATTTAGAGTTACTCGCCCTAGCTGTTTCCTGGAAGTGGCAGCCGGGAACAGAGCCGTGACACGGTTACACCGCTCACAGAGTCACTTCTCCACTTCAACAAACGGGACACAAAGTGTTCATTTGTGAGCTGAGAGATGGATGGACGCCAAGCTAGCTGGTTGCCCCGGTGTCCCCTCCGTGTGCTAACACGAGCTAATCACCTCCCCGCGCTAGCACAGATATCTTCACACCCAAGTCTGCGTACGAAAGGCGGGAAAAGCGGTGCGTTTTATCAGCATGCGTTTCCTCCCGTCAGCATGTGTGCTGATTTGTTGTCTGGCCTCGGAGGTAAATCTGATCAGGCTCTCTAAAAAGGAGTCGACGTCGAACAGCGGTGGCGAGAATGCTCTATTTTGTTTCTCCGTTTTGCACGTGTGCACTTAAAAGGCCTGTTTCTCACGTGGGACCGGCCACTGCTTGAAGTATTAACCACATGCTCTCTTTCCAGGGGAGACTGAAGAATGCTTCTCACAGCGATGTAAGGACTACACCCCTTTAGATCAATGTGTCTTGTCCCTCCCCTTGTCTTCTCTACGTGTCTCCCCGTCTACCTCCCTCAGCTCGCCAGTCAAACAAGCGGTGGAACTGTTGATTATTCGCCTTTTCGTTTTTGCACGATGTTCCTCCGCGGCGCGGTTAATGTGCTGTAGGAGTAGCTGCCTTCACTCGCAGCTCCACCACAGGTCACACACTCAAATCCACGTGCAACCATCTGCGGCAGAAACGCACCACAAAAGGACGAGGAGGTCAACCGTCGCTTAATTTGACTTCAGAAACAATAAGCTGTTTTGTTCTTCGCTGCAACACAGTAGGAACGGCGCCGCGAGTCAAATCTGCTGAGCTTCACAAGCCGCATGAGGCCAATTAAGGGATTTGGGGACCTTTGACCTGGATCACATGGCACATTTTAGCTGCAGGAATGTGCTCGTAGGGCGAGAATATTTGGTGTAACAACTCGGGCGCACATGGCGATACATTCGATTTGCATTAGGCCAGACGTCCAATAAACACCTGCTGTGTGTGCATGTGTGTCCCTGAGTGCACGAGTGTGACTCCTTTCTCGCCCCCACTACGAGCTGAGCCACGTTCCCTTTGTACTGACGTGTCTGTGTGTGTGTGTGTGTGTGTGTGTGTGTTAGGATTTGTGCAGCGGCGTGTACTATTTTCAAATGAATAAAACAAAGATAAGTGTGATAGCAGCACTTAAAGGAAAAAGCACCTTGATAAAAAGCGGCTTAGAGTGGCTGAATGTGTGTGTGTGTGTCTCAGAATCGTTTGCTGTCCTCCGTGTGACAATAAGTCGTTTACTGCTGCCCTGCATTGTCCCGATAATAACAACGCTCCTCTCCACCTGTCCTCCATCTGTCCCGCCGTCTCTTTCCCAGGGCACTCAGCTCATCTTCAACGCTGCCAAGGAGCTGGGACAACTGTCCAAGCTGAAGGTACGATGCGCGTTCGCACCGCTGTGCTCGGCTCAAATCTCTAATTGCGTGGACAGAGCAGGAGGAACCAGGCGCATCCTGTGAACGGACGCGCGCGTGATCTCCGTGCTTTTGTCTCTGTCGTCCTCAGGAGCACATGGTTCGGGAGGAGGCCAAAGCGCTCAGCCCCAAGCAGTGTGCTGTGATCGAGCTCGCCCTGGACACCATCAAGGTACGAACACGTCGCTTTATGTGCACCTTCTCAAACTGTCAGCGGCTGCCTCGAAGGCTCCGCGATGAACCCATTTGGCTCCGTGGAAATTGTCGCTTTGGTTTTTAAAGTCATCTTTGCGTTCTAGATGCTGTTTCGTGTGTAATTGTGCGGCCTTTAAGCACTGCTCTGCGTTAAAGTTAAAACTTCATTTAGAATCATTTTTCTACGGTTACTCGTATGTGCATGTGAGCTATCTACTAGGCAAAGCATGGCAATGAAAAAAAAAATAAAGGAGAATCCTGCTGTGGCTGTTTCAATTAGATGCAAATGAAATCAGTGGTGACCATGGCAACCAGACCTCCAGGTGAGAGCATGTTCCCTTTCCGGAGGTGTTTTTCCCTTAAAAAACTCGACAAAACTCAGAGATGCAATCATTCCTTTGAAAAGGCAGGAAGAACGTGAAAAAATGTAGTTGACACCCATCAAGCTAAAAATCCTGATTTTACCATTTCTATACTTTTTGAGATGGTTTTGAAAAAAGGTGAATAAACATGTTTAAAATGGATATTTTCCAAAAGCATGTTTTAGAGAGATTATTATATTATTTAATTAATGAAAAGCATTGATGGTGGATCCAGACTTTTTACAGAGACAGAAATCACTTTTACGTTTTTCAAGCCGCTTTAACATTTTTAATTAGGCTGCAACAAAAAATAAAATTTGAATATTAAAAAAAAAAACTTTAGCCCACAAAATGTCTGCATTTTTCAACAATCAAATTTAGTTTTTGAACTATTTCCTATTGATTGACTAACAGCAATCAGTTTCAGCTTTTAGATCACTTCTAAAACACACTTTTATAAACGGGTCTTTTTTGTGAATCACTCCCTATCCCAAGTTTCGTTCTGACCTGTTTAATTACTGTTTGGTGTGATTAGTTGTATCTGGTTTCCCTATAAAACACCTTTTATTTCTATCTTTAGTCTTCAGGGTTTTGCATTTCGCACTTATTTTACATTTTATAAAAAAAGAAGGTTATTGTTATCATACTAACTCCCGTCTTCTCCTTTTGTCTTTGTGTGTCTCAGCAATACTTCCATGCCGGTGGTGTCGGTCTGAAGAAGACCTTCCTGGAGAAGAGTCCTGACCTGCTGTCTCTGCACTACGCCCTGTCCCTCTACACGCAGGCGACGGACAAACTCATTCGGACTTTTGTCCAGTCACAGAACGCACAAGGTAAAATAACCGTCTCTTGGTTCTCTTTATTTCCAGTATCTGAGACGTTCATGTCTGATGTCACTTAATTCTGTGATTGAGACCAGCACGTCTCCGCCTCTCAGCGGACCCACTCCTCCGATATTAAGGTTTCCCAAACGCTTCAACTCTATATCCGGAAAATACCTCCCGTGCTTTGTAGAGCGTGAAGCCGAGGCTGTGGGTTGCACGATTTCTTTTTCTCTCTACTCTTAAATCCGGAGTCCCCTGGTAGCCGGCCTCGAGAAACACGCAGACTATTCTTTACATGATCTGACAGCTATTTACAATGGTAAAAAAACAAAAAAACAAGTTTGATTCTGTTGCTCAGCCCCCATCCGACCGTCAGATGGCTTCATAACAGCCGTCATCTTTGTGGAAGTGCTGATTGCTGACGCGCTGTCCCCCGGGCGCCGCTCCCAGAAGGGCCTCGATTGTTTAGGATTTAATTAACGGAAAATGCCGCGTCGTCAAGGTTTCACGGCGGATCGGAGGAGTCATTACGAGCTGGTTTGATTAAAGCACCCGTGTGTCTGTCGGGATGTCTCCCATCTTTAGGTAGCTACCGGACCTCTAAATGCAGGTCCGTTGTTTTCTACTGTGCAAAAACCTCATATTTCTACGTGTTTCTCCTTTCTCTGTCCACTCCGACCTTCGGCCCCGTCTGGGGGCCAGTGTTCGGCGGGAAGGGGGTGAGGTTCACCACTAGTGAGGATGTTTGCCCGGAAAAGGGTATGTGGCATTCAGGCTCAGGGCCTGAGACATCCAGGAGTACCGGAGAGCAAAGCCCTACTCCCTGCAACCCCCCCCCCCCACCTCCACCCACACCCCCTCCATGTGCATCCCACAACTCCCCTGCCTGCTCGAACTCCCCCCAACAGACAAATACATTGCACAGATTGAAGATCCTTTTTCTATCTCTGCCTTCTTGCATATATGCCCACTGCAACTATCAGACCGTTATGCATTCATGCATGTGACGTCCACGCTGATGTCTGTATGAGCGGCGCGGGATACATACGCCGTGGACTGTATGTATGAGCACACGCTAAAGCATGATGTGCTGACATCAGACCGGACCAATACAAATGCATCATAGTGTGGAGGAGTCCTGATCTAGCATGATGTCACCCAGAGAAGCCCCGCGGGGTGGGGGGCTTGTGACTGGGTGGGAATGTCTTTTTAAGGTTGTTGAAGCAGAAGCACAGTGTATCGTCGGTGTTCAGCGAGAGGACGCCGGGGAGGAACACACACACCCACACACACAAACTCCCCCCCTCCCTCCTCAAGTGTTTGACGTGAAAGACGCTGAAGAAAAAGACTAGAGGATGATGTAGAACTGTGATGGCTGCTCAGTTTTTGTCTGGGAGGGTCCTCGCCTGCTCTGTCATCACGCATAAAGACAGAGACTGACTCATTCAAATAGCTCCCATGTGCAGACCCCCACCCTCTCCCCCCCTTCCCCTGCCCTTCAGGTCATGTGATCTGATATCTGTCACTCTCGATTAGTATCCAGAGATCTGACTCTTACACATGATGACTTCATTCGATGATGCACAAGCAGCGGCACACTGACCGTCAAAGTTTTTGTTCTTATTCTTAAATTAGTCATTTTTACCAACTCCAAATACGCTAAGCTAATCCAATTTAGACAACTTTTCAACCTGCCCGCCAGCTGTTGGATGTTGTTGACTGTAACAAGGATGCAAATGAACCTCTAGTCCATCTCGACCATGTGATTAGAGAAGATGATTAGATCAGACTGATGGAGGCTCGACAGACGTTGTTCTCATGATGGCTGTGCTGCTGACGTAATGTAAGGCTATGCGCTGCAAATCCTAATGGAAATAATCAAAGGTCAAGCTGTTTGGACGCCATTCACACAGAGCGCTCGAGTTTTTATGTCTATTCCGGTTTCCATTTTCTTTTAAAGAAGAAGCAAAGCCTGCGTTTCCTTGGCAACGTCATCCGGCCTCCCAGCCAGCGAAGTTTGTTTCTCATCTTCGATGGAAGTCCTCCGCAGAGTAGACGAGACCAGACGGGCGGCTGCTGCTGTCTTTGGTCCCGCTGGCGGCAGGGGCCGACCGTCCCGCGGCGGCTCCCCGGAGAGCCGCGTGCCAGGAACACTCTGCCGTCCAACTTCCCACGGACACCTTCATACGCGGGCGGCCGGTTGGAAAACACACAAACGCGCTGCCGACGAAGCGTGGAGACGTTAATTAAGCCACTGAAAATGTGTGTCCATCTGTCGGCGTGCACTTTGGAGGATCTCGGCCGCCTTCTTTCACATGCAGCACGAAATGAACCTGAGGAGAGACACGTCCATCATGTCCGTCCCAGACAAAAGGTTTAGGGTTCACTGTCTGGTTGTTTTGAACCAAAACAGATTTAGTTTCTTTCTAGTTTTAAAATGCAAAGATATCTCCGACTTGCAAGCAATTGAGTCAAATTATTATTATTATTATTGTGATAAAGATTTTATCAGATATTTGCACCAAATAACAAGGCCAGGCCGCTTCCCTCTCTCCGCGAAGCCCGCCCCCCCCCTTTTCTTTCCCCTCCCCCCGCCATGCTTGGGTAAAAGTCTTTTACCAAGGAATGGGTGCGTCCACCTGTCCGGATCGGTGTGAGCGTGTCTTACCTGGTCCATGTCAGGGGTTCCACCCTTCTCTCCCGTCTTCTCCTACTAACCACGCCTGCATCCAACCGGACAAACCTGCGTCTATGAGTGGGCACGAACTCATGTCCTCGATTGCCGCTCAGCCGCTGACACCAGGAATTAATTGCAGCTGTTAAGTCAATGCATTATGCATCATTGTGGTGCTGCATTAGAGAAAGACATTAGGAACGCGTGCCCACTCATAGCAGCTCCACTGTCCACCTCCAGACCACAGCACATGCTCGCGCAGATGCCTTTACTTTATTCTCCGGTTACACAGAGATTGGTTTAGTTTAGTGCTCAGACTTGTCATCACAGTCAATATTCTGTTTCATTTACAAAAAGGTTACAGCCAAATCCATTTTGATGCTCAGGTTTACACATCTGAAATTGGAATTGGTCCGTAAGCTTTTTAAAATGAGGAGGCCGATTTGGACGCGCCAAAGAGTCCACGTTTGCAGAAGTGAGCGTTGTCCTCTCTGCCTTCACGCTCAGGCTCTGGCGTGGACGACGCCGTGGGAGAAGTGTCCATCCACGTGGAGGTTTTCACTCACCCCAACACCGGAGAGCACAAGGTCACGGTGAAAGGTAAAGGAACCGGCCGCAAAAAATACACTTGTTACCGCACGTGAAAAAAAATGTCAGTGTCGTATCGTTAGTGGAAAAGGTCATAGTATAACGTGAGGAATAAAACTACATTGTAAATATGAATAAAGTTTCATTGAAAAGTAATTGTATAGTTATGAAAAAAGGTTACGTTAATAGTATGCCATAGAAATGTTTCCATTAAGTATATATGTCGAACAAATGCCATTATAAAGTCAATATATTACTTCTTACAAAATGTGGTACTATAGTGTCAAAAAAATTGAACATTCTAGTAAATCATTAAAAGAATATTAAATTAAAGTCAAAATAAGTAATAAGCTCATAGTCTGCTAAAAAAAAAAGGTAATTGATGATAATATAGAAAAATGTCACATTATAGTATGCCAAAGTAAATTTGGTTGAAGATAGTCAGAAATATTACATCAAATAATAAAATAAAAATAAATAAAAATTTAAAAAAATGTCATGTTTATAGTATGTCATAGAAATGTTATAAAAAATGTCAAAGCAAACATGTTTACATGAAGTATATATGTTTGCTGTTAAAAAGTCATAGTACATTACTTTAAAAAAAAATGGTACTATAGTGTCTCATAAACAAATATTTAATTAAAGTGCCTAAAAGAAACTGGTACAGTATGTCAAAAAAAAGTCCTTGTCTGAAAATGTCACATTATAGTATGCCACAGTATAGTTTGTTGAAAATAATACGACTGTACGATAAGGCATAAATGTGTCTTTAATAAGTCAGAGTAAATAATTAAAATCTTGTTATATAATATGTTAAATTCCCACCACTGTTTTAACACCCAGAGGGAGAGACGGTATTTTCCTTCTCATCATTTCTGTTTGATTCGGCTTTTTCACACATTTCCTCCACATGAATCTCTCTCTCTCTCTCTCTCTCTCTCTCTCTCTCTCTCTCTCTCACACCCTTCCTCTCTCCCCCTCCATCTCTCTCTCTCTCTCTCTCTCTCACACCCTTCCTCTCTCCCCCTCCATCTCTCTCTGTCTCAGTTGTGGCGGCCAACGACCTGAGGTGGCAGACGCAGGGAATATTCCGGCCTTTCGTGGAGGTTTACATCATCGGCCCTCATCTCAGCGACAAGAAGAGGAAGTACGCCACCAAGTCCAAGAACAACAGCTGGGCTCCCAAATACAATGAAACCTTCACTTTGTGAGTAGCGGCGCTGCCGATGGCGGCTTGTTCTGTTTCCGCGCTGCTAGAAAAGCGTCTTAACGGACTCCCTCCCTCACCCCCTCCCCCCCTCGTCCCTGCAGCACCCTGAGCAGCGAGGCGGCTCCCGAGTGCTACGAGCTGCAGGTGTGCGTCAAGGACTACTGCTTCGCGCGGGAGGACCGCACCGTGGGCATGGCGGTCCTGCAGATGAAGGACATGGCCTCCAAGGGCAGCGTGGCCTGCTGGCTGCCGCTGGGCAAGCGCATCCACATGGACGAGACGGGCCTCACCGTCCTGCGCATCCTCTCGCAGCGCAACAACGACGACGTGGCCAAGGAGTTCGTCAAGCTCAAGTCGGACCAGCGCTCGGCGGAGGAAGGCCGCAGCTAGAGAGAACGGAACGGGACCCCCCGCCCCCCGTCTGAAGATGGGACGCCCGCCACCTGCTGAGATTGGTCCGCGCCACCTGTTCTCCTCAGAAAAGCCCCTGGTGTCTTTGTCGTTGCAGTTAATGCTCGCCGTTCTTTTGATGAGCACACATACAGCACACGCGTGCTCTCCTCCGTGGAGGCGAATCATGCTGATTTACACACACACACACACACAGCGAAAATATGTACCTTGCCTCTGATGCTTCGGCTTCCTCGCGTTCCTTCTCCAGGCCCGAAGCACAAGGGCGCCACGTGTCCGTCTGACCCACGAAGAACGGCAGCGACGTGCCTCAAACATTCCACGCGTCGGGCGAGGAGCGGAGCACTGTCAAATTATATTTATATTTAAATAATTCTATAAATCATAGTATCTAATATAACAAAGGACGTATGTAAAGGCACACGCATATGAGGATTATTGGATGGACGCGTGGTGAGAGATCGTCCTCGTCCGTCTTTACGTCCGTCCACCCTGCAAACAGAGCACACTGCCTGACACCCTTACTGCCTTCTGTCTCGTTGACCCTCGTACGCTGTGCATGTCCCCCGTGTAGCGCCGGTAAAGAGAGTCCACCCCCCCCCCCCCCCGTGTTACTGCAAACATTCCGTAATCGGCCTTCTGCTGATCGTGTGAGAGGAAGAAAACTGCCACCTCCTTTTCTTAAAAGAAACAATTTGCCATATCAATATACCTGTGTCTCTTTGGTACCCAGGGGCCACACTTAGAGGGTCCTCAGCTTGGGGGGGGGTTTGAATCCCAGGGCTTTTAACGCACCCACGATAAACACATTAATACTTGTTTCAGGGGAAGGAATCACTCATCAAGGCTTCGAACCGTTTCGTGGCTGAATTCACGAGGAACTAAATGTGTTGAGCGGGTTGTTGCCTGTCCAGCATGTTGATGCCCTTTGAAAAAAATAAAACCGGTTGATTCCTTTATTGATCCATAAGAGGTATGCACGCTTGTCTGCTTGGAAAACAGAGTCCCAATTGATCAACAGGCTTTGGCTTGTTCCTTTTTTTCTATTTCTACCTCTAAATTAACTAACAGCCCCCCCCACTTTTCTTTTTTGAACAAGGTGTAAGAACTGATCTCTATGCATCTAATCTATAAAAACCTTTGTGGATGAGTCGTCTTATAATGTTTACATCGTGGATTCTACTTACTATATCAGCACAAGTGTTTGTCCGTCTCTATGGTAATGGGCCAAACGTCTCAACCAATCTGCTCCTCGGCTCAAACGGAGAGAAGGATTGTCGTCGTTGGCCGTTGTAAATAGCTCGGATGTAACAAACACATGTCAGCCTAATGTGAGGTGAGGTTTGCTGCTCTTTTGTAGACTTAAATATTTGCTCTGAGTGACCGGAACGTCGGTTGGGGGGGGGGGGGATGTGTATCTGGAGATGTAGCTATTGTTGGAAGGTTTAGGAAGGCCGTGTACTCACTGGAGAAGAACAACAAGGACTTGGTACGGATCCCAATCATTTCACGGGCTCGATTTAGAAAAGACGGGGGGAGACTTCCCTCCTGAATGAGGTCAACCCAAACACCTTGTCGCTCTCTCTCTGGTGGGCACGACGCATTTATTAACAGGTCGCATAGCTGGGAAATGCCACGAAAAATAATCTTTATTTATTGCTGTTGACAATGACACTTTGTCCTCCTCCTTTCGGAGTCTCGGTTTGCGTGTTTGGGGACGGGGGATGCACGCGGGGGACGAAGGGGCGGGGCTAGATGTCGAAGCACAATGAAAAGCACACCGACATGCATGACGTGTTCCGTCCAGCCAGACAGACGCCGCCGGTCCTGTACTTCCAAGAAAAAGGTGCATGATGGGACCAATAAAACAGAAAAAAAAACATTGTGCCAGCACGGATAACTATTTGATGTTAGTTGCCAATTGATGTCCTTTTATTTTGATATTTCATTATTGTTTTCTATTTTTGAAATGTTTGTGAATATATAAATATGTATTACTGATGATGTGTAGTGGTACCAAGTGCTCGCATGAGAGTTGTTTTTTATACACAAGATGTTTCTAATTTTTTGCGTTTTTTTTTTTTTTAATTCTGGTTGTTCTTATCGGGGAGGGGAGGGGGGGGTAAAGGTGACTGCAGTCTCATTGTGTTTCTGCTTCCAATAAAAATATGAAGGAAAAAAGAAAACTGTTTATTATTGCTTCTGATGAATCCCGTCTCCGCTGCGGAGGGGCGACGCGTCTCCTGCTCAGACTCTGCGGAGGAAGGAGATCCTGAGGGACTCTGGGATGACTAACTGCTCTGCGTGGAGGACGGCGGGAGGCGAGTAGGGAAACGTGACCGGGAACACTCGCCTCACATCCATGAGCAGCTGGGGGGTCGGACCCTCGGAGCGGCCTTTCAAATGCCCCTAGGAGAGCAACGGCAGAGTTAGACACAGCCTTCCTGCACAGCACAATTCCAAAGAAGTGTAAGGCAGGAAGGCTATAAGGCAGTAAGGCAGGAAGGCTGCAAGGCAGGAAGGCTATAAGGCTGTAAGGCAGGAAGTGTGTATGGTAGCACGGCACCTGGACGGTACGGATGAAATTCAGGGAGACTCTTTCTTCGAGGTCGCTCTGGGGAGTGTAGAGGGTCAGAATCTTCACGATCTGTCGAGCGAAACAGAGGCCAGCTTGATGTTCTGCACGAATGAGCTGCACAACAATGCGCGTTGTCTCCCAGCAGGGTGCCGGCAGGGACCCACCTGCTGGCTGGACAGGGCGGTGCAGCTCTGAACGAGGGCCTGCGCGTCCCGATCGCTCTTCTTGCCGGCCTGCAGCAGCTGGACCGCCTGGATGAGGTGCTCCAGTGCGGCCGCAGCGCCCCCTGCCTGCAGGCCTCGGCCCCGCAGCCACTCCTCCAGCAGGCTGACGTTGTAGCTGAGTGAAAGGAGCAGGAAAGGGGCGATTATTGAACAGTCATCGATATTTTCAAAGCTTAAACCTTCAGGTTGGGTTGATATTTTATGTTAGTTCTTTTTTACACCAGAATTACTTTCAAAAATTGTTTTACTGTCATCCGGCCTCCCAGCCAGCCAGTATGACATTTTCTTGCAACGCTTTTATTATGAATTTTCATTGACGTGCTCTACTAGGACTTTACTTTATGTTCATGACTATTGAAGATAAATTCCGAAACAAAACATAATAATGTAAACTGTTGCATCATCTTCTCCGTGCATATCTCTACCGTATTTGCATCCCACGGCTCCAACAGCACATGTCTTTCCTCAGCAGGAGGCTGTTGAAAGCGGAGGCGGAGATGAGGTAGCTCAGCTGGCTGAAGGCCTGCTCCATCAGCGCCGGGGGCAGGTCCTGGCGGGACAAAGCAGCGTGAAGGGCTCCCAGCTCCCTCAGCACTGCCGACATGGTGCGAGCGTCGCCCCCCACCGCCGCCGCCCGGGGGTCCGAACCCGCTCGCTTTCGGGACGGCCCCGGCTTTCCCGCCGAGCCGGACAGACCTGTGATGTTCTCGCTCTCCAACAGAGCAGGGACTGAGGGAGAGCGAGGGAGCGTCAGAGGAGAAGTTGGGAGGGGGCATGAATAGCATCGGTATTTGCTCAATCACAGTGGTACCGATGATGTTTTGCAGACGTCTTTCAGCGACGGAAAGGAGCTGCTGATAGGCCTGGATACGGAGGTCACTCAGGGCGCGCATCGAGTCTCCGAGGTCGGATGCCAGTGGAACCACTTCGCCCGAGTTAAGGGACTGAAAAAGCAACCGGTCCACTTTGAAGCATCGCTGTTGATCCACTCTGGTTCATCAGATACCGTGTGTACTGGAATAATATGAGTGCATGTGCATCCTACCTGTTTTGGGGAATGCTGGGTCAACAGGTCGTGCAGCAGACAGGCGTTTTTCAGCCACAGAGCCGTCATGTCCACATCGCTACTATGTTTCTGCAGGGACAGATGGGACAAATAAAAGGTTATATCGTCGCTTAGAGATTAAATAATACATCCCTGCATTTATGGGTATTTGTGTGTCAGAGGTATGGGGGGGGGGGGTTGCCGAGGAGACTCTAAACTCGGGTCACCTTAAGAGCCGCCTTCACGGCGGTGACGGCGGCGGCGCAGAGCGCGCGGGCGTGCGTCTGATCTCCGCTGCAGTCGGCCTGGCGAACGCACAGGAAGAGAACGCTGGCGGGCAGACCGGGAGGCAGAGGCAGGGCGCCGTCAGCCCGGAGGTCTGCACCACGGAGAGAGAGAGAGAGAGAGAGAGAGCGCAGCAATGGCACAGTGAACATAGCAAGCTCCTGTGTGCGTGTTTGTGTGTGCGTGTGTGTGTGTGTGAGCTATTGAAGGGTTACTGGAAACTAAGAAGTTGTGTTTCATCCTGAAGAGACAATACAAAATAGTCAATTGACTCGTGCAGTAATGATTAATAAACAGCAGAGTCACCATAAGAAATACTTCATACTATTTCCAACTCTAGGTCTTATTCAGTCGAGTGACTTTCATTCATTTTAACATTCAATTGTTGTAATTTTTTGTTCTCGAAAAAAACGACATCTGTTGTTGCTCTGCGTGTTGTTTCCTTGATTCCTTTTAGATATTCGGTTTCCCAGGTCCAATGTCATAGCGCTTGCATTCTAGCTTAATTCCAACGTTCTGCTCTGATTCAGTGTCTCACCTGTGATGAGGTTCTTGAGGAGCTTGGCATCGTCTCCCTTTCTACATTCCAGCAGACCGGAGACTGTTGCTGGCGTCGCCCGGGAGGGACAGGAGGACGTCTCCGGGTTGACACCTGATGAGAGCACAAACAAAGACACCTGAAACAGCAGCACCGCCTAATAACAACAGCAATAAAAGAGAATACATAATATATGGAAGGTTTGTACATTATAAAATCAATTTATATCATTTACCTCTATTCTCCTTTACCTGCTGAGTGGAAAAAGTCAATGGATGGAAAGCATCTCTTATCGATATGAACCATTTTATCCCATTATGATGTTCTTAATTATTGGCAATTTTTTAGGGATCAACATACATCAAGGATCCAAATATAACAGTGTACGGTTTGTGATTAAAAAAACAATTCTGAAGCCGTATAGCAAACCAAAAGCTCTGAAATGTCCCGATGAAATCTCACCTTGTGGCACGAGTCGTCTGAGTGAGACTGTGTTCCTGAGCTCCTTCAGCTCTCTCCTCAACCTGACGCACTCCTGCTCTCTGGCCTCGAGTAGTTCCTTTACACACACAAACACACTCATTCATTTACAGCAAAACTTCATGGACTGATGGCGCGATTGTGTCCGAGAGAACCGGAGAGCGCTGAGGCCAAACGAAGGGACTTCCTGCGTCTACGCGCCACTTTGAACCCGTCGTGCTTCCTGCATCACGGATGACTGCCTTCGTCAGCTGGTACCTGTTGCTGCTCGGCGGGGCAAGAAGCAGCGATCGCTCGACCTAGCTGGCCCCTGAGAGCCTCCAGCTCCTCCTCCCTCTGGGCGCACTGGTCCCTCAGCTGGCTCTCCAGAAACCTGCCCCCCGGGAGCCAGACTTAAGGTCAGCATCGCCGATTCGTTCACCCGCTCACCCGTGAATCGCGGCGCACGTTCTGAGTGGACTGACTTGTTAGCCACTCGCACGGCGTCGTACGCGTGTGCCAGGTCCTCTCCTTTCATCTTCACGTCTCTGGCCACGTCCGTCGTCTCCATCAACTGGTCCTGTCGACGCAAGCGTGCACACAGACTTGTCACTTTGTTTCCCGTTACCCGGTTGGCTTAGCGGCGTACGCGCGCCGACGTCCCCTCACCATCGGCGTCCCGGCGCCCCGCGCGGAGGGAGGCGCCACGCCGACCCGGCGGAACTCCTCCGGGTCGGGGGAGGCAGACCGGAAGGGTGACAGTGGGCCGGGGAACTGGGGAGACAGCAGAGTGGGGGAGGGAGGCTCCGAGCTCAGGCTGCAGGTGGAGTCCGTCCTTCTGTGGCCCGCAGTGCGCTGTGGGGGGGGGGGGGGGGCGAAAAAAAAGACCCTCAGCGACCAAGATGGTGTCGGTCCAGAAATAGTATCCTTCCAAAAGCACTCGAGTGTGTCTGCGGGCGTATTGGTGGACCTCGGTGAGCAGACTCATCTCCCTCAGGTTGTCGTATCTTTGCTCCAGTCTGGTGAACTCTCTCAGGAGGCCCTGGTACTTTCTCCTCTCCTCGTCCAACTCCGTCCTCAGAGCTGCAGTCTCCTGAGTCACAGCCCGGTGCACACACTCTGCACACACACACCCACACACACACACACACACAAGGAAAATACAAATCAAACTAGCTTTAACCGGTCGGCTAACCGGCATCTGCATGATGCTGCAGTGTGAGAAGAACCCACCTTCTTGTGCTTTTTCTTGCTCAAGCAAGCGAGTGGAGAGATCCTCTCTCTCTTTGTCAAAACCGTCCTTTTCTCTCTGCAGGACTTGCAACTCCTCAAAAGTAAGGAGAGAATGAGAATGAACAAACCTGCAGGATATCAAAATGAACCCATGCCTGGTCGAGTAGGACGTACCTGTGTCAGTTGAAGGATCTCCTGGGCAGCTTTCTCCTCAGCTCTCCTCCTTTCCTCCGCCTCCTTCTCGCTGGTGACGGTGCAGGGCCGAGGCTTCTCCCGTTTCTGGCTCCCGAGCTTCTGCACGGTTGCCCTCAAAGCCTCCAGCTCGGCGCTGGCGGCCTGTCGCTCGGCGTGCAGCGTCTCTTTCAAGGCTGCAGCCTCCCTGGCCTGGACGCACGCAAGCAAGCACAACTTCAACGCGTGAATGGACGATAAAATAGTAACCGTGATCGAACTCCCTTCACCCACCTCCTGGTCCGCTCTCAGCTGCAGCTGCATCAGTTTGACTTCCATGCCCTTGTTGAGCTCCCTGAACTTCTCCACCGAGCGGGCCTCCGTCTTCAGCTTCATCAGCGCTCTCCTCGCGGCCCGGCGGCGAGCGCAGCACTGCGTGAAGACCACCGCCGCGCGTACTCGCCTGTACGTCCGCCTCGCCAGCCACGCGCGCACTCTCGCCTGAAGCAACACGGCGGCCCGCTCCGCCACCAGCTGAGGAGGCAAAACGCGATTCACCGTCTAAACGCAGCGATGGCGAAGAACATGATGATTAGAACGTATTCAAAACCAGGTTTTGAGGAAATCCCGACCAGTCTGTATCTGAAGCGGGCCGACGTGCCCCTGGTGAAGGCCTGGATGGTGACGGCGGCCTGTCGGAGTGTGAGGAACATCTGCCGGACCACCACCATGCGGTGGGTCTTCTGGATCACTAAAGCAGCCTTTGTGTAGCGCAGAGTCAACGCAAGTCTGCAGTGACAGAGAAGATGGAAGTGCGGAATATTTGATTTAAAAAAAGCAATTTTAGGGTTAGAGACCGATGAAGTCCACCTAAAGCACATTTGTAATGCTGATTCAGCTATATCGAAAACAAAATACTAATAGCTTTTATTTTATTTTTAAAGAGATGCATAAAAATACACACATATCAAAACAATTTGCATCCCCAGCAGATCAGTTTCTCTAAAAATATACACTTGTATACTCTTGTCCTGTATGCAGGTTCTACCTCCCGCACACTCACCGTCTGGCCGCGGCTCCTCTGCAGTATCTCTGAACGGTCACAGTTGCCCGACGGATCCTCGAGTGTCGGATCCGCGCCAGCCACCCTCTGACCCGGCTCTGGGCGATCACGGCGGCCACGCGCAGCCTCTCGGCCCTCAGCCTCTCCAGGAGAGCCACCTGACCGGCCCGGAAGAACACTTTGGTCTTTCCGAAGCAGTACTGGTCCGGGTCCGGGATGAGCCCAGGCAGCGCTTGTCTGCACGAGGCCCCGGCGTGCTCCTGACCCCGCAGGCCTCGGAGCAGGAGGCGGTATCGGCTGAAGAACTCCTCGTACGTCCACCTGGGATCAAAGAAAAGTGGCTTCCTAGTAAAGATGGGTTGCATTTTTTTCTTTTGGTCAACTACTTAATTTCAATTGTTTTTGCATAATTTGACTCTACTGCAATGACATAAAATAAAAGCATTGATCCACATGAATTACACGCATGTCTTTGAGCTCTCATGCTTCACACGGAGCTAGAAGGAGAACTCCGTACCTGGATGGAAAACCCGCAGCGCTGATGCGGATCGTCTCCAGCACCCCGCAAGCCCTCAGCTGCTGGACCGTCCTCCTGGGGTCAAACCTAACGAACAGCACACCTTTCAGCAACGCTGCCCAATCAGATGCTCGTACACGTGAAGACAAACGGGAGAAGCATTACGTGAAAGCTTCCTTCAGGTCGTTGGGTTTAATGCAGCGGACGTAGTGAGGGGTGGTGCCGTCCAGAGCGTCCATCAGCATCTGCAAGGACCGACGGAACTGCCGGGCGCCAGAAGCGCAGCGTTAGAGGCGGGTCTGTGGCGTGGCGTGACAGTGAAAGTCTGGCGAGAGCTCACCTGGGAGCCCACGGTCAGCTTGTGCTCCCTGGCGGCTCGTCTCCCCGAGCCGATGCTTCGGTCCTCGGCCGCGGAGGAGGCGTCTCCCTGCTGCTGGAACAACTCGGCCACCAGCTCCGACTGACACACAGAGGAACTGGAGTCAGCGCTCCTCATGGAGACATCTCGGCTAGATTAAATCCAACTTGGTTCCACGTACCCACCTGACTTGCTTTGAGGACGTTAACGAGCTCCTCGAACACCGTATCTCGATTTTTGCCTAAAAAGCCATCGCATTCATATTGCACCTGATGAAAAGAAGGCAGGACGGTGGCAATGAGATTTACGGACACCAGAGATCAAGAAGGGGGGGGTTTCTGTGAGTCGCCCCGCTCACCGCGTCAGCAAAGTGCAGGATGACGAAGGCGCCGTTGGACATGCGAGGTTTCTGGAAGTGGGGGTGTCGCTTGCTGCTCAGGTGTTGATCGTACAGCTTCAGCACCCAGCTCTCGTCTGACCCTTTGGGCATCTGATGAGAAACACAGTGGGGAAAAAAATAAAGGTTGGTGCAGCTTATGCAATAGAAAAGAGGGGTGAGCGGGGGTGGGGGGGGGACACTGACCCTGCACTCCTCGTCCAACAGGTCAAACACGCCCAGCTGTCCCTCTAACAGATTGAGGCACTGCTGATTGTCACTGAACTCGATCCTGCTCCAGGACAGCTCCTCCCGCACGTACTCCTCCTGCTCCAAGTGGAACACGTGCTGCGGAAGAAAATATGAATACGATGAAGAATATAAGACGTACACGTAACGCGTCGTCACACTGAGAGAACAGAGGGATCCAGAAAGAGAACCGCTTCCAACTGCATGTTGCAACTAAGAGGGGAAACAAACCTCTTCCTCCCCCCAAATCAAAGCACCATAATGTGATTGTGACCAAACATTTCACAAGAGACTCAAAACTAGACATTAACTGCTGTAGAAGTCGTCTTTTTGACATGATTCAATCAAGCTCATGGACCTCAGAGTTTAAGAAAAGTGCAAATCAACTCTGGCTGTAAGAACACACAGCGAGACACAAACAGACACCACTCACCCGGTTGAACTGCTGTTGCAGTTTCTCATTTGCATAATTTATGCAGAACTGCTCGAAACTGTTGCGGTCGAAGGTCTCAAACCTGCTCCGAGAGAGAAGCCTGGTTGGGTTCCGACTTTGCAAAGACTCACTTTAACCACATGAACTGAAGCGATCACCCACCCGTAGATGTCTAGGACCCCTATGAAGGACCTGGCCGGCTCCCTGTGTGCGCGCAGAGCCGAGTTGAGCCTGCGGACGGTCCAGGTGAACAGCTGGCCGTAGATGTGTTTGGCCAGCGCGTCCCGGGCTTCTAGGGCCTGCTGGCCGGACACGGGCTTGACCAGCGCCTCTCCCCCGACCGCCAGCCTGCGATGACACAGCCAGTGGGCCACCTGGGGGCCTTCAACGCCCAACAGCTTGGAGAAGACCGCCAGGGCTCGGTCGTCCGCCTGGAAGTGGAAAACAGAAAGTTTTCAGACCCGCTGCAGCAGAAAAAGGCAAAGCAGTTGGTCGGGAAACACAAACCCATTTCTTACATCGATGTAACTGCGTTCAGACGTTCTCCCGCTGGCTTGGATGTCGACGTTTCCCAGGTGCAGGACAGCTGCCAGGATCCTGAAGAGCTCTGTCCGCTGGTCGGGCAGCACGCCTGCAGACACGGCGATGATGTAGGTTCACCTCCATCACCTACTGACCTGATTCTGCTGCATCAGCGTCTGACCACCGGGCCGGAGCGGCGGTGCGTTTGATTTTACGTTACCCAGGACGGTGAGGGCATTGCACGTGCGCTCCAGGTCCAGCAGGTCATCGGTACCAGGGATGTGCATCTCTCCTCCCCGGCTGGTGTAGCGGAAACGCTCGGGTGCATCTGGAGGGAAGAACCGCGTCACACAGAACGGTGTTCATGTCGCGACATGCAGAACGTTGAGGAGCGGCGATCGAGTCTCACCCAGTTTTAGGGATCTCATTTCAGGCAAGGCTCTGGAGGCACACAGCTGGTAGAAGATGTGGTAGTTCCTCTCAGCTGACGCCTTGCACGCGCATGAACACAGAGACAATCATCACCAACCGACGGAGAGTGAATGAGGGATTCTCATGTGCGAAAGTCTCACTCTGACTAAAGAGCTTACTTGGAAGACCACCCTAGACTTCTCCAGCAGATACGTCCTCATGTTTGCCCCAATGATGTCCCCGTTCCTGCCGAAGCCGATCTCGATGTACTTCCCGAAGCGGCTGCTGTTGTCGTTGCGAGTGGTTTTAGCGTTCCCGATGGACTGTGGAGGGGGAAAGGACACGTTTCCAACTTTAAAAAAAAAAAAAAAAGGACATTTTTGAAATGGTAAAATGTGTTCAACCATCCATCACCTCCATGATGGGGTTGGAGGCCAGAACTCTCTCCTCCACGGTGGTCTGCTGCGACGCTCCTCCAACCACAGCAAAGTATCTCATGGTGAATTTGGCTGAGACGGTTTTCCCCGAGCCGGACTCCCCACTGATGATGATCGACTGGTTGTTCTCCTCCCTGGACTCGCACGGTCCACCGCAGGCAACAAAGCAAAGTTTCAGCAATGTTTCACTCTATATAGTTATATATGAAATAATACATATACTCTTACATCATTTATCATCTTATTTGTCTTTACTGAGGTGGGATTCCTCCTAGTTAGTTTTATTCTTAATCTGACCTGCACAACGCTGGTTTTCTGCCTCTTTTTTTTATTGTGAAAAACAATTTCTCAAAGACTCTCAAAGCTTCCGTTGTCGTCACAGAGAGTCAGCATTTGACCTCTGACCTGGTCATTGTGCGGTAGGCCTCCTCTGCCACAGAAAAGATGTGGGGCTCCATGTCGGCCGCGTCCTGGCCGCTGTAGGCGTCGATCACCTCCTCTCCGTATATGGGGAGCTGCTCATAGGGGTTGATCGCCACCAACACGATGCCTGGAGGGACGGGGAAGACGAGGCTGTGGATATTCGCAGTAACTACAGAAATAGATAATGGTCATTTTCATCTGTGTAGGAAATTCACTTTTCTTTAAAGAGGAATTTTTGTTTAACTTCAGCGTCAACAAAGAGAAATCTAAAAACAAAATTGTTACGATATAACAACTAAAAAAGCAAAATGGGCAATGCCTAAATGGACAGAGTGACTTTTTATTACAATATAAAATATGTAATCAGATCTTAAACAGGTGGCAGCGAGCGGGTTGCCTCCCTGTCTCGACCTTTGACCTGTTGTAACACAGTGTTACGAGCTGCGGTCACACAGGAGCTGACTGTTAGTGGCACAAATCCAAAAGACTTTTTACCGCAGTACGTGTAGATGCTGCTGTAGTCCAGGAATCGAACCCGCAGGTTGTGCAGCACCGCGGGTTCGTGGAGGAAGCTCAGGGCCGTCAGATCGTTCTCCCCCTCCAGGATGTCGGGGTTCGCCAGCGGCGGGAGGTCCGAGGGGGAACCGACCGGGTACCGGGCCTCCTGCCGGTGGAGAAGGAAGTTCTCGTTGTGGGACACTGGGGCTTAGCGTGATGCGATTTGGAGCGTTGTGTTTTTTGGGGGTGGGGGGGGGTTGCGCGTGTCTCACCCTTCCATCGGAGAGCTCTAGCAGGAGGTGCTTCTCTACAGGACTGTAGTCCTGGAGCAGCAGGCCTGACACCCAAACTGCATCGGGGTCAGGAAGCCACACAGTTGCTCCCTGGTAACAAAGCAGTTGGATTAATAACTAAAAACAGGCAGGAGTCCAGGGTAAAGGAGATGTTTTAATGGCCCCATATTCTACTTTCTGTCCCGAACATGTTGCACTTCCTGACCCCACCCAGACCACATGTTTGTCACCCATCAGCATAAAAGGCTCCTAAATGGTGTTAAAAATTAACAGTGGTCATCCTACTGCCTGCAGAGTTTAGCCATTAGCTGCTTATAAAATACCACATTGCCTACTAATGGGTCTGTTTTACAAAAGAATTCAAACTTTGATTACTACAATTGTACTGGGTGCTGAGCATGACGTCTACAGAAATACAGATGTAGACGATGTTTAACGAGAATTTATCAGATAAAATGTATTTTCAACTGTTACATGTCACCTAAAGTACTGGGCTTTTGTAAAGGTTATCACTTATGCATATAACTTTCAGAACATTTGACTGACAGACACGTCATTTAAACAAGCACATCACTGTCTTTGTTGCAATTCTTAATATAAAATCCATTCAAAACTGTGGCCTACATGAACGACGCAAGTCACTCTCACCTTACTGTAAAGGTCCAGCGATGTCATCTTAAGTACTTTTAAACATGCAGATCAACGTCCGCTTACAGAAAGTCACCGGCGGTCTCACATCTGCGCTCTGCAGGAGAGACGCTGCGTCGCACTTTGCCCGGCTCACACTGAGGCACGAGGACGCTCACGTTAACTGTTAATCTGTGGGAGGACGCAGTGAGTGGATGAGGGGGGGGGGTTGTGTGTGTGGGGGGGTTCCTCCGTTTGAATGTGCACTGTGAATAATCACTGTCAGAGGATCTACTTTCCCAGGATAAAATAGTCTGCATACAAACAGGAGACACCAACATCAGCGTTTCACATATTCACTCATTTTAATATGTAATACAATCAAATTCATTTCATTGCAATCAGAGGTGATTTTCATGATTTAACCAGGTACATTATTCACCATCACACCTCGACAGACAGGGATAAAAAAAACAAAGACAAAGCGTTGCTCCTCAGTAATCACATCTATAACTACGTCACATCCATACCGGCTGTAACCTGTGCGTGGGATTAAGAGGAGCTTCTGTGTGGCAACATCGACACGTTAAAAAAGACACACGCGACAGAAACGGAGCCTTAACAGCAACGACATCAGTAAGCACCTAAACCCCCCCCCCATTGCTCAGCCCGGGGCAATATTATACTACCGTGCCACGAGACCAGAGACGGTCTTTCCTCGGTTTACAGGCTGTATTACAATAAAATGACGCATAGCTTTAGAATCAGCCGTTGTATTATTCACCTTCACCCACCATCCGCACGTCACTCATGACCACGAAAAGATCCTTGTTTAAATATTTTGTAAAAGCAACCCCTCGCCCCCCCCCCCAATATAGTCATCGAGGTATTTTATAAAAAATCTTTAACTTCCAACGCTCCAAACACGTCTCCTCTTCGGTGAACGTGGAACAGGACTCACGTCACACAGCCGTCGGGAAATACAACATCGCTTTGTAACAATAAAAACTGGGGGGGTTACAGCTCCACTGGTTCCACTAGAAGAGTGTTTGGCGTCCGGCCACTTGTGTAGTGCATCGTATAATCCCAGAGTCAGACACGCCGGAAATACTAAACATTCATTTCCAATCTGCCCAAAATAAATGGACAGAAAAACAGCACAAACATAAAATGTTTGAATTTGACGACTGTCGCCCAAAACACAAAACCCATTCAGAGCCTTTCAGCAAAAAAAAAAGGAAAAACACGCTTTCATCAAACACTAATTTTAACACACGGCAGATTTTAAAAGTTATTATTTAGATTTGGAAGTTCGGGGGAATTTATTTCAATGATCTATTCCAAAACAAACCGAGCTTCAATTGAAAGGCCGTCGAAGCGGTAGAGCCCCATCCAGCGGAGACTCCAATGAGCCACTAGTGTTTTGCGTTGAAGCGAGGGGAGGAGGGGCACTCTGGGTAAAAAAGGTGGAAGCGGGACGCGGACACACAGGGAAAGTCCATCGGGCTGCTGCGTGGCTCCGGCCGCTCGTGGTTGTGCGACAAACAAACACCTACGAGAGGAAACGTTAATAAGAGTAAGTAAAAATAAAACGTGTTTTGTAGATGGCTCAAGAACTTTAATAAAAGCTCCATGTGTTCATTCTACAAGTCTTTATGAAAAATAAATGGATATCTTCATCATGCACTTATTAGCACATATGGATTAATTTCCCTCAATTGGAAGAAGTAAATGGCACTCAATGACAACGTTCTGTAAAATAGTTTCCCTCCATCTGCAAACTACTTATCCTGCACACAGGGTCGCGGGATTTAATAGTTTATACTCCATTATTTTTCCAATTAGAGCATCATTCCGTACCCACCTGTGCTATACGCTCTCCATATCTTCACTGCTGTTGCCTTCGTCCTTCAGAGCCTCCCCGTCGCTGGCGTTCTCCTCGACGTGAGCCAACATGTCGGCCATCAGCGCCTCCTCCAGCCGTTTCCTCACGCTGTACACCAGCTCCTCCTGCTTCCTGCGCACAAACACAACAGCATCCGCTCAATCAGCACGGGACGGGACAGGACGGGACGGTCCCCTTTGGACGGCTTCTTCATTGAGCCTTTCCGGGGTTTTTTTTAATACACGTCATTGTGCATCTGCATTTACAATGGAAGCCACTACAGCAGGTGATCCATAGCGAGGCGGCCCACCTGATGTCCTCGTCCGTGACTATGAAGGCCTTGCACAGCGGCTGTGTGGTGTTGAGCCAGACTCCCGGGTTCTTCTCCACAGCGGCAGACAGCTGGCCGGTGATGGGAGCAGCGCTGGTGTGCAGAGCGCTCGCAATAGCCGACAGGAGAGTCTTGTCCGTGCAGCCTGGGCCCACTCCTGCAGGGGGGGGGGCATTTTTTTAAAAGGATGGAGGATCAAAGCTGGGGATTAGTTACATTTTAGAAAAATGTCACCGGAAAATGTGAACGATAATCTGATCAGAGGAAAGACTCACTTTCATCCCCTCTGGAGTCAGTGTGAACCAGCCACAAATATTAATAGTTTGTTATAGTCAACTTTAAAAACACGCACATAATTCAAATGAGTAGGAACGCATGTATTTTTGTTGAATAAATCTTGTCAGTAGTCGTCCCAATAGCCGTACAAACCGGTCGCACCTCATTTCTAATATCTGTCGATGGTGCCGTGAAAACATCTGCTACATTTTTTACACGAGGACAAGTGAGGAGATCACGACAACGCTGACGACCACCAGCGCCATCGAGTACTTTACCTTGGAGGCCTTTCGGTAGGTCCATCGTTTTCACCAGCTCCTCTGCGATGTCGTAAGCATTGAGCCCACCGAGTTTCTTCTCCCAAAAAAGCTGTTGACAAAAGAATATATATATATATATAAAAAGAAAAATATGATCTGCAGGCAGTTTTGAAATTTAAATTAAAACATTGTGCAAATTCCCCTACAGCAAAAAAACAAACAAACCAGATACACCATCAGCATGTTCAATTCATACGCGTCAAATCTCACGGTATTTGTTCTTCATCAGACGCCGCGTGTTTCAGGCGTGTACCTGTGCGCGTACCTGTGCGCTGCCGGTTGACCTGCTCACCTGTCGCGGCTGCTCGACGGCTTTCTGAGGATCCGTCTTCACTTTGTTGCTGGGGTGGTTGGTGACCTTGGTGACGGGCTGCTTAAAGATGGAGGCCGTCTGTCGGACGGGCAGTGACGTGTTCAGGTCCGGTTTGCCCTTTTAAAATAACCAGCGGAGGGAGGGTGAGCGGCCGGCGGCGCAGAGACAGAACGCGGCGCGTTATTCCACACGAGGCGGCGAGAGGACGCGTCCGTCACCCGGCTCTTAGAGGCCTCGGTCAGTGCTCAAACCAGATAACTCATCTGAGACTACAGGAATGGAGATTACTGCGAAGATTAACGTCAAGAAAGACAGTTTAATGCAAACTATTTTTATAAAGCTCCTCCTGCAGTCCCTCTACAGCGCTCATGTGATCAAAATAAGACAAGTTGTCTCATCCAACCTCCAAGATGCAATGGAAGATGTATTACTATTACTTATATTATACTTAATATATGGTGAGAATCTGATCTCAGCGGCTCTTCTCCCGTTGAGTTAGCGTACATACTTCAATGCCTCTTACTGTTTGTTTAACGGTAGTTTGTACATCTTGTGTCTTTTGTATTCATATAAAATTGAGCGGTTTAATAACTCGTTGTGTAACAGACGATCATTCGCTTGCATCGTGATCCGTGCAGCTGACCCGCCTGTACACGTGCCCCTCTTCCTCCTCCTCTTCCTCGTGTCGGATAACAAGTGCTTATTGTATGTTCACATCTTCTGTGGTCATGTCGAAGGCCCCGACCCATGATTACTCCAATTAGGACTTTTATTACAATTTTTCATCCTTTGTGCACACGTCTGCACACTGTGACTACATGCGAGAATCCATGTTATGTTTTAGAGACCACTTCTTTTTCACAATATTCTTCATTTCAGTTCAAAGAGACTCAACAGCAGGTAAAGTTAGTAAACAGATGTGTACATCCAAGTGAAAAGCTCAATAAAGGTTTTGTTTAAATATGAAAAACGGGGTCGGCTACATACTTTATGGATATTAAACCTATTAATGTCACAGTTCCAACATATTCTCCCATCACGTATGTTCTTATCCTGTAGGTTTCGTCATGTATGATCTTTGCGGCATATCGAGTCTACGCCCGTCTTAAAAAAAGGTTCCACGCAAACAAACTCGACTGCACTAGTCTGCGATAAACTGGATGTTTATGTGCAGTGATCAACAGAACCTTCCGTCCGGTCTCACCTTATTCTGGTTGTTGTTGTCATAGCGCAGCCTCTGCCGGTTCTTGTTCAGCTTGCTCATCAGCATCTTCCCCGTGCGGAAATCGAAGGAGCTGAGGTCCATCTGGTTGCCGAGGTAACGGGCCAGCTGAGGCTTGCTCCGAAACTTCTTCCCAGATGGACTGTGGAGGGGGAGGCAAGAGGAGACGTAAGAAACCGCTCTCCTCACATCGTCTCTTACCAAACGAAAAGAAACAGGGGAACGGAAACTCAACACGAAGCAGACAGAAGAGACACACAGAGTATCACAACATGCAAACAGAAGCAGAACACATCCGAGTTACGACGCTGAAGAGTCCCTCAATGAAATGGATGTGATCGTTGATGACCACGAGCCGCACACAATTTACTGCAAAGAGCAAATACGACACCGTACGACACACACACACACACACTCAACGACAAGGTCCAAAGGGATGAAGCCCGTAAGAACCAGCGAGCACGACGTACACATGAGCACATGAGCGCTGCAGCTCCTCTGAGGGCAGCGAACAGCGGCACGAGCGAAGGAAACAGCTGTGCGTGACACAACGTGCGAGGCAGCTCATGCAGATGTATTGGTCCCACAACACGGTAACAGTGAACAGTTACCACAGACTACACAAGCGACCTCCCCCCTCCTCCTCCCCAACCCCCCCCTCTTGCCTCTGTTCCTCATCTTGCTCGTCTCCTCTGCTAAATGAAGAGAAAGAAACAAGCGTGGCGTTTGTCTGCGTCACTTGTAATGAGTTGGGGGGGTGGGGGGGGGAGACACACGGAGCATTACACGCTGCGGTGGGTGCGTTACCTCGCCACGACTAGACGGACTACTTTATCTCTGAGCTTGTGAGAGGAGCTTCCGCCGCCGCCGTCGCCTACCTCACCCATCCCAAACTTTATGCCGACCCCCCTCCCTCCCTCCCTCACCGCAACCCTGTCTCGTTTCCGTCCGCAAACTCGGTGTCTTGTGCACCTGTAAGTTTTGCAAGCCCCCGTTCGTTTAGTACCTAAAATAATAGACATCGCTTTTTCCAGCTGACAAACCCGACTTTCTGGTCACTTCTTCCATTTTCCAGCCCTTGGGGAGAGCAGTGCAATCCCACCTTTTCTTCTCCATTTCCCACGCGAGTAGCCTATAAATCCACTAAAAAGTTACTGCGCATTAACGGATTAGATTTTAGGATTGGTTTCGTTTCTTGTTTGTTTGTTTTTGGGCTGGCAGGCCTATCGCTTCTTACGCTTTTGTTTCGACCATATTACAACATGCGTCCTCTGTAATGGGATCTGCCTGCTAACAACAGCTCGTCTCTTTGTCGTCGCGCAAATCCCTCCGCCGCGCAGCGCGGCCGCACCACCGCCCCGCCTGTTTGGCCGGGGCGAGAGGGGTCTCCGTCCGCGAGGAAAACATAGGACGACGCGGCTGCGTCAACGGCCGCGACAAGACAGGAAGTTAGCGTGAGAGTGTCACGGACTAAAGGTACCGACGGTGTGAGAAATATAACTTTGCGTGCGTTTGATGGTCCCAGTTACCCAAACTTTAAATTCCATTCGAACTTTTAAAAAGTCACGATTCTAAATGTTGGCGTTTAAATGCACGAATTAACTAGTATGTATGTATGTATGTATGTATGTATGTAGTATGTACTTTCTGTTGTACAACCCGCTCTGAATAGACAAAAAGTCTATAGACAAAATCTAATTTTCAAAGAAATTAATGTGAAAAATCTCACGTTGTCCAACATCAGTTAATGGAATGTGTGTAATTGGGTAATTTCAGCATATTTTGAAAAAGTAAACGCATTTTAGTGGAGATATAAAATGTCTCGCCCCATGCATCCTCGCAATTTTTGAAACTAGTTATAATTTTGCTATTTTAGTAAAACTGCAAACGATTTGATTTAACCAATCCAGAAACCGGAACTCATAACCGTGAGGGGCGACAACAAGTTCCATAAAAAATACGGTTCGTCTTTTATTGTGAAAGGCTTTAGCGGACGTGTCATTTCTAGCTTGCCGTTGGTAGCCAGCTAGCTGTTACACCGATTCACCCCCGGGGGGGGGGAAGAAGAGAAATCAGGCTACTGCTCCAAATAAACCGTAAACAGAAATCACGCAGACACGGTGACAGAGAGCATAAAACCAGCGAACGTCCCCCCGTTAAGTGGAATCCCCACTTGTAGCTTTCTCTGTAGCAAGAAACGTGAAAGTTTTGATGTTCGCGTCGTTGAAACGGGAGAGAACCCCTTTTCACCACGACGACGTCCCGACGTCTCCCCCCCCCCCGGTGTCATCCGGACACGAAGCCGGCTTTTTATGAATGAACCGAGTCACGTTCGATCACAGCGATTAAACGCAGGCACCATTTTTTTTAAAAGCGTTAACACGCGCCTGTGGAGGCTTCGTGCATGTTTTTGCGAGATTAAAATCCATCTCGACGCAGCACGTTAATCGGCGCGGGGCTCCGACTCCCTGTGGTTTATTTTAACGTTAGCTGTAAATATCACATCGCAGTGACGATGTTGCTAAAAGAACACAACCCCCCGGATCGACATACTGGCTTAAGACCATTTCTATTTTTTTCCCCCAATGCGAGACCACCGACTGCATCATCCGGATCGATGACAAACACGCGTCCACACGCATAACGAGGAAGACGGACGGCGGAAACAACGCCTCGGTGACACGGAACGCTGCCGTCGGTGCTTTCGTTGCCCTTCCGATCGCGTACTTACTCGTTTTTATCCATCCTGGAGACTTTATCTATCTGGCGTTTTCTCCCTCTCGCTGTGTTAAATCCCCTCTCCTCTTTCAGTCCCCTCCCCCTTCCATGCGAGAAATGAAAGACATTATACACGCACATTTCGCAGTTCGTAAAATGAGTAAAATGTCAGGGGGGGCGTTTGCAATAAAGTCCACGACATCTCGGGAGACGCGGAATTATATTATCACAAGCTTTTAACTCGTAACCTCATTTCTGCCTTATCCTCACCTCATTTTTTATTTCATGTACATTTATGTAAATATTGTATTCTTTTTTTAATTTTAAAATTGGTCGGCTTTCCAGAAAGGCAAGCACAAGAATTTCAATACACAGGGTGTAAACGGTGTGTAAATGACAATATAAATCTTTGAATCTTTTACATACGCAGTGTCGGCAATAACATTTTTATTTCACAGTTCTTTTACAGCACAAATAGTTTGAAGACAGTTTGCAAATATCAGCTGTACAAAGCCACGTTTTTCTCAAATGCCCCCATGCAAAAGACAATGAAAGAATATCTCTTTTTTTCCATCTCTGATCTCCAAATATAAAAAGGCTGTCACCTTCAATCAAAGAAACAGAGCACTTGAATGGATGATATTTTGCAGAATAACTTGACACATTGGGGTAAATTGAGGATTTATTCACATTAAATAACACCGGATCAAAAGCAGCATTTTTACAAGAGTGCGTTTTGGCGTCCAAACTCCTAACGGGCCCTCGGCGACTGATTGTTGAGCCACGGCGTCCTACTTAAGCTCGCGTTGTGTAAGAATTCCACCCAAGTGCCCATTTACAAGTTCTGGTCCTGCAGGCAAGACACACAGCCATTTGTTAGCTGGTTGAATGTGGAAAAAACACACATCCTCTTTCTAACATAAACAAACACAAGTAGGTAAGGAGGAATCCAAATGTGTAAAAACGTTTGGAAATATTAACATATTGTCCAAAGTGTGGTATTACAATGAATATGATGGATCATGTCTGGGGTTTAGGTTGCAAAACAAAGTATTATAATACAGTCACCTGATATTTGGGGAAATTACAATTTCCTGGCATCACAAATGTTTATAATTATGCAGTGAGGAAACAAATTCATCATTTAAAAATAGTCATCCCCTAACAACTACACCCTGACAAAACGATTTAACAATTCATATCCAAAATTTAAAATGACGACTGTGTGGACGAAAGCCAGTGACACCGCTGTCATTATAACAATAGACTCACAATTTAGTCGCGTGGAACTTTACTCGTCATCGTTGCTGAACTTCCCTTTAATGTACGGCACATAGTCCAGAACCAATCGCCAGTCTGTGAAGTGAATGAGCGCCACTCCACCAACGGTTCCCCAGGCAACCATATTCGGTACCCTGGAAACAACAACAACAACAAAAAAAGGTTTATGACATAACAACACACTAACTGCATTACATATTTCTAAAGCTACTTCGATAGTCCTCGATTCAGGTGACATGAAGGTCTTACAAGAGATTATTCTTGTCAGAACTGCCTTAAATTTTAAGGATGCAGACCTCCGACAGTAATGGTGGTTGCGATTCCCAATAAAACTAATATATATATATATATATTTTAATCAGGGATAAATGTATTTTATACATTTATCTCCCAATTGTATACAACATTATTTATTGTCTTTCTCAGAGATGACATATATAAAAGGAATCAGGAAACAGAAAAAGGCACCACTCATGGCAGTGAACTTTATTTTAATTATTGATCTTTCCTCCCAAAAAGGTCTAACGCGAAAATCGCAGATGGCCAATGTTGAATGTTGAGTAATTTGAAAGATTATCATCATTATAATTATAATAATAATAATCATTAATGTGTACTAGACTGCAATGCATCATATATATATACACAAATTATATACACACATTATATATATATATATATATAATATATAATATATTCCCTTTAGACATTTTTGCAAGGTCAATTAAGTAATGTGCTCCCAGTTGGAGGAAAGGTCAATCATTAGAATAAAGTTCACTGCCATGAGTTGTCACTTATATGAGAAAGACAATAAATAATGTTATATACAAACATTACCACATTAAACGATCATACAATAAACTGTGATTTTACATTATTAAGCGGTTTATCAGTCTAATACAATGGTCATATAACCTGAGTTAATTGTGAGATGCTTCTTTATTGGCAAAGGACTATGAGCAATTCATTTAAAGATATTACATTTTTAAATCATTTTGACATGAAATAACGGGAATTTAAACATCGGGACACATGAGATTTAAGTTAATGATACTCACAGATACCATTTGTTTACACTGACACTGGAAATATGTGTAACGTTACATTGCTCCTCCACGAACACCAGCATTAACGTAGTTGTTCTACGTTTCTAGTAGAAACAGTTTAGCATCTCTGGTTATAAACACGTTAATGTGATTATGCTAACTAGCGCAGCTAGCTAAAGCCAGAGGGAAATAAACAAGCAGGCTAAGCTAGTAAGCTAACGGGTCACTCAGAAGGACAACAGTTGATTAGTGATTTAAACAAGACGAAAGCACTAAAAACAGTGTCTCCAACATGGTGCTCGACCCCTGTTAATGACTTAACTTACCAAGCCCTTAGAATCGTAATGTATTTGGCACCGACGAATTTATTTAGTATTTTCTGCACCATCCTGACCTTCTCAGTTGTAGTTCTTTACTGCAATGTTTTCTCGCGCAGCCGGCCTTGAAGGACCCCGAGGCGGCCTCTTCTGTGCCTGTTAAAAATAAACCGGCTGCCTTTAACTGCTTCGGTTCCTTTCAGGCCACTGCTTCAGAAGCTTTATTAAACACTTCTGTGTTGAGCACGCACTGCATAATACGGCAGTACTGTGCGTGCTGACTTTATTAAAACAACTGGTTTTAATCATGTTTTCAATTGAATGTAAATGTAATTATTAATCACAATGGCATTTGTTATTCCCAACCGCCTATTGACAATGGCAAATATGAAAAAATTCATTTTCCGAACTACAATAAACCCTTTATTACAATGTTTTCCTTTATTTTCCTTTTTATGTATACAATATTCAAAAGCCAGACATTGGAAAAGGTATAATCTGTTATTAAAAATGGCACATTTATTGCTACATTACTGTTATATACAGGACAGTTCTCAACTATATATATTTATATATATATATATATATATGTATAAAAAAAGAGAGAGACAGAGAGAGACGGAGTGAGACGCTGAGGACCCAGCAGGAGTCAACAGCACGCTCACTCCCAAGATGTCAGGCTCTGTACCTGTGAATGTATTAACACTCAATGGTCTCCCCCTTTTTAGTTCAACAAAGATATGACAAAACTGTTGAAAGCAAGTGTTTTATTACTGCTTTCTTATACCAAAACAATGTCAAGCCCGTCAACCTAACATTTTCCATCAGAATATTGTAATTTTCTGTTGACATCATGTGCCCCTGCAGTGTTCGGCTTGCTTTTCTGCAGACTTCAAACTGTGTCTATGTGAAGACTCGTTTTAAGAAATAAGGTCGTCGTCGTCCCCCAAAACAAATGATTTGAGTATGTCGCTTGAAGGCTAATGGGATGCTCACAGAATACTAAATGACATCAAGTCAGAGTTCCCCCAAATCAGCAATATTCAGTACAATAGTTGATCTTCAAATAATAAGAAAAACTTAATACAACTTTTTCTTTTCTTTTTTTTTTTTTTCAAAGAAGTGATTAGAACTTCTTAAAAAAAAAGTCAGTGTCAACAGCATCAAAGAGCTGGAAGAGGTGAAAATAGTATGAGGAGACTAAATATATTGAAAGTCTCTGCAGCAAAGGGCTTGCACTCTGATATACAGAAATATTGAATGCTCCGAGTCATTAGGAGGTTCCAGCTACAACGAGAACGAAAAGAAAAGAAAAAAAAACAACTCACTCCCTACATTGAAATTGAAGCAACACATACTGAAACATGTTAATGTGCATCAACCCGCAGACAATCAGAGCCAAAAGCAGCATCTCTTGAACCCTGAAATGTGAAGCAATGTACCAATATAGGGCTGAGGGAAAGAAAACTCATGACCTGGACCCATGACCTTAACTAACACAGCAGTTTGGACAGTATAATCCAGTTGAATAATTAGAAAAAAAGGGGAATAAAAACTAAACAAGATCTACGTAACATTTATTTATTTAACTAGATACACTGAAAGAAAATCTCTTTATACCATTTAAACTTCTTCCTGAAAATTGAAGAAAGCATTAGGAGAAGGGAGGGTGGGGGAATGAACAAGTACCTCTTTAATCTCCATGGTAAATGAAATGATATGGTTCACAAAATAAAACTGTCTTAAATGAAAATACAAGTTCAGGCACTGATAAGGTATCACTCTCCCATCATGTCATCTTAAGTCTTGAGAATGAAAAGGCCACACTATTGATTTGTATAGGTCTTTCTCTTCATCTCTTTTTGTAGAAATTAAACAAAAAAATGCTCTACCTCCCACTTGTGATTACATGTTGGTAAAAACCATTCACAACATGACATGACATGTGAATAACGTCACAATAACACTGTTTTGTTCTCCATATTATCCATCACCTCACTCCCAAATACGGACGTCTGCCTCCAAAATAGATGCGCAAGCTACTAAAATGTGAGCTGCACACAAGAGCCACTTGGTTGAGGGCAAACATTAGAAAAGAAAATGAAAATAAGTATACGGTGCTGACGAAACCCAGGAACACGACTTTGAGAATGAGGGTGATCCACATTTGTATGGTAGCTACATTCAAAAACCAGTTGCATAATTACTGTTCGAGACAAAAATCTTCCCACATTTTCCCTCGGCGCCAACGTGAGCAGATTCATTCGGAGTTCATCTGGGCGGCTGATGATGCGCTTTACAACTAAAACTGGAATAAAGGACACACCAAACGCCTTTTCATTTGTCAGCAGTTGACCTTTAGCCTCTGCCCCCCCCCCGGTTCAATTTAGATTTTGAACAATTTCATTTTAAATGTCGAATATCCCACTTTTCAGCTCATCTACAATACACTCTAAACTTCAAACTAATATTGCCATTTATGTAAAAAATCTACAATGTATAGACTAACAAAAAATATATATTTTTATATATATATTTAATTTTGAAAAATGAAACATATCAGAGTAATGTATGAAGTCAATTTACACGTCACGCTCCTCTCGGTAACAAACGGGAGAACAAACGTACTCGGGAGGAAGGTGAGGGGCTGCAAGCCGGTGGGAATGCTCATTCAGGAAAAGAAGGCCTCCGTCACACGAAGGCTTTCCTGCTTCAAACAAGATCCCTTCTGCAGAAAGGAACCCAGATTTCTGCTTTTTTTTTTTGTCTTTTACAGATCATTTAATAAAGGGGAAAGAAAATTGAGCTGTTAAGTCTGCTGGCATCGTCAGTAAAGCATTTTAGATAAGAGCGCCAAGTGGTGCTGATCACTTAGCAAGCGTCTCAAATGGCTTCAATACGCGACGTTCAGGGACTGAAACGCACAACAGGTCCTCACTCAACTTCCAGCCCGAACCGATACGACTGCGCTTCGCCTCGTCCACGTATGCTTTAGTACATAAAGCAGTACAGAAACCTGAACACGTGACGAGGGATTCCCGGAGTAACACTAGAATTTGTGGTCAACGAACGGGAAGAACGGCGTTTGTCGCAGTCGACAGACTCCTCCACTTGGAGAATTCATCAACTTGGGAGGAAGGAGCCTTCGATTCCAAGTCTCCGGGTGGTCTTGCGGGATGAGGCCCATCTCGAGTCAGAGACCCTAGGTTCACGTCTTTCAGGAGCTGCTTTTTGAACTGTCAGGACGTTTGACCTTTCCGTTGTGATCTTTCCGCCGCCTTCCCTAAACATTTGCTGATGAGATCGGGGGAAAAGTCACTGAATTTAGACAATTCAACTTCAACTATGGGCTCGGTTACATAACATATGTAAGACTGTACCACCACGCTGGGAATGACATACATTAAAAGTAACTGCTCATACACATAAGCAAGCCCTCACAATAAATGTTCCTCACATGTCAAATAGAAAACATGTAACAATTAGGCACAAATCCTGGATTCAATTTGTGGGGTTTTTTTTTTTTTTTTTAGGTCTCCTTTCTTTCTCAAGAGCACCTCTCGGCAGTGTGTGAACTCCCAATCTGTGGCAGGACAAAAAAAGAGCTTCGGTGTTCCATCATGTTGAGGAAACCAAGAAGATTTGTTTTTACATGTATAAAACAAAGCAAAAAAAAAAAAAAAAAGTTCTTCACATTTGAGCTTGTAGTCATGGTTGGGAGTGCGACGAACAGGCTGTGTCAGTTTTGGCAGTATGCATGTGTGTACAAGTGTGTGAATGTGCATCCTGAAACTTGAACGGCAATACACAGACATGTCCCCACACACGCACACACACAAACACACACACTGGAGAATAATGGGTGGAAGAAATCTGTTAAGGCCACATCCTGACAGCCAAGGAAACACCACCAGATCTGCAAAAGAGGACCACAAACATCATGTTGCAGTAATCCTGTATTACAAAGAAATCAACACAATATTGAGGATTAGTGCAGCACATATTTCAAGTTCTAATCCACAAGATCTTCCCATAATCAAATTCCTGCTTTTGCAAAACAAACGTGTTCTTCCCCAGCTGCTCAACATTAAAACGCTTTCCACTGGGAGGCAGCCACAGCGGTTTACATCGGCCACCGCGTGATTTTGCATCATCGGATGAGTTTTAAATATCGGGGGTTAATGGGAAGATAAAAGGAGCAGCCACGGGGATGCAGAAGATCGACAGGCGACAGCGCGCACGCCTCTTCATCAAGTGCGCCAACTTTAACTGAATCCTGCCGTTATGCGTATAACTACACGGGCATCATTAATCGGCGATGGGAAAGTATTAATTATTGATTGTTCATTTGCTTGGCTACTCTGGTCGTATTTTCTCTGTTCAAGGATTGTTTGCAAACCCAAGAATTCCAGGACTCGTAGTAACGACTCCATCTTTTACGAATTACCCCCTGCATCCGTCAGTAGCCAATGGTCTGAGGCCTACCTGGTGTTACATGTGGCCAACGGGGTTGTGGCCATCTCCGCCCATGCTAGGATGGCCTCCTGAGAGCTGCATGGGCGCGTCCCCCACCACCCCGGACACCTTCTCCTCCTCGCGGCGTTTTAAACATGCTGCCTTGGGGTTAAGGTTGCGCTCTGACAGGAGGGAGAGAAAACAGAAACAGGGCCTCTCAATACAAAGAGTGACGGTTTATTTAACGGAAGGTAAACACGGCCGTGCTTCCCATCCGCCACGGGCCGCCTGCGCACTGACCTCTGACTTGCTGTTCTAAATTAAGGATGACGTTGACGGCCTGGTGCAGGATGAGAAGTTTGGTCTGAGGTTTGTCGTGGCTTAGGTGCAGCTGGCACATCCTCCCGAGCTCCTTGAACGCCTCGTTGATGTCCCGTACTCTGAGGCGCTCGCGGGCATTGTTAGCCACTCGCCGTTCCTTCTCACGTTCCAACTTCACCTCGGGGGGCAGGTCCTCGTCATCTTCGTCTAAACTACTTGAATGTGAAGAACAAAACAAATCAGGCCGAGGGCGAGAGGACGTTTACAGACAAACAAACGCTGGTGTGTTCACGTGAAGGGGATTCGTCTGCTTAAGTCCAGCATGAATAGCTGTGCACGCACAGTTGAACTCTGTACTGAATGGATGCACTAAAAATAGTTTGTTAAATGCACACATGTATAAAATTAAATATCGGAAAAACATATATCCAAGAAGCAGCATCTGCTTCTCATTAAATCAAAGTTCATGATCCTCCACATTGTAGCATTATGTGCTGCTGTGTTTAAAATAAAAGGGAAGGCACCACAAGCTGCAGACTCCCATTTACATTTAAAAAATGTAAATCTCTTCATTTGTTTGCAGCACAAATAAAGAAATATTGAATGGTAGTGATGTACAATGCATTTCAAAAATGTCAGTTTTTTCACAATGTTTCAGTCAGATTTGAGACACCACTTCCATGAACGTGTGCTTTTTACGCCGTGTGGCAGGAGTCCACAAAGCACAAGAAACTGAGCCTCTATTGGAGACACTTACTCATCTTTCTGGTCTGATAGGCTAGAGAGCATCTGGAGGGTCAACGCCTCCTTTCTGAAAACGTGACATGAAGGGAAGGGGGATTTCAACATCAGTTAAACGCCTACCAAAGTCTGGGGCATAGGTGGGGCACACAGGACTACGATCAATCACACGGCCCGACACATTTTACAGCTGACATCTGGAACCTTGCAGCAGATACATGAAAGGTTCTTCAATATTTTCACACTCGGCCAACGGCGTCAAGGCAAATCTCCACATTTCTTTCCCCCCATGCCTTTATACAATAGTGGAGTTTTTTAAGCCTTTAGTAATAAACCAGCAAATCCAGGCTACAAAGACTGGAAAACAGTCAGGACCACTTACCGTCGAAGGCGCGCCGCCTTGGAGTCCTTCTTCTCGTCATCAGATTTATCGCCAACGGACGAGTTCTCATCGTCCTCTTTGTCTTCTCTTTTGATGTCCGAGCTGCTGGAGGAGTGCGTGGAGCGGGCCAGGCCGCCGGGGAGACCTTGGGGACAAACGCATTTCACATGTGAAAAAAAGGCCTCTCCGTGGAGGGGGGGTGAACACGGAAGGCTAATCAAGCAGAGATCGCTGCGTCTGCACACCAGCGGAATCACCAATCAGGCTCTGCGAGCTGAAATCAAACATTTAGTTTTGTAGCGAAAAACATTTCACATTTCACAAAAAACAACAACAACAACAACCATATGGAGGCCGACTTACCGGTAAAGCCTTCGGGTTGGCCGACCGGTGGCGTCGGGCCGGACGCGTGGTGACCGTGCAGGAGGGTGCTGCTGGGAGGAAGGCCTGTGGGCTCCTCATGTTTCCCTCCCTGCGGACGGGGGAGGAGAACCACGAGATGAAGATATATCACGAGTGCGCCTCTAGAGAACTGACCGACCACTGCGTTGGTCCAACGTCAAAGACAAGAGGAGCTTCAGAGAAAATAAAGTAACTCCACAGTGACAACGCCGAGAACCAATATTTACTAAATATGCCCACATTTTTTTGTGTTATACAACCAAACAATACACTTTACTTCTTATTTCCTGTAGTTTTAAGATTTAACATTTTGTGTTAGCAGTTGTTTTTTCAGATTTGGGCATGAATGAAGAAAAATATTTTAACCTCCATACTAACAAAGTTTCTTGGGGAACTTCCCATATTTCAGCACGGAAACACGGCCCTTGTGGAGCTTCCAGACGTGTTGATAGAAGTTATGTTTGCTATAAAATTAAACCACAAAACCCAAATGAACACTTGGCGTTTGCATCCTGCCCGACTCACCATGGCCGGATGTCTGTTGCTGAGGGCGAGGCTCGCATTCGGGAAGGCGGGAGAGAGGCCCCCCAGGCCCCCGTTGTGTACGGCGGACAGCAGGCTGTGCATGTCGGGGGCGCCCTCCAGACCCTGACCCACAGCGTGGCTACGCAGGACGTGGATGGCCTCCTCCAAACGGTCCTCCATTTTACTCTGCTTCGGAAAACCACGACAAGCACGCAGACATCAATGCGGCGAAAGTCCCAAGAACAGCTCGTTAACGCACAGTGCGTCTTTGAAAAATACCTCAATCCTAACGAAGCACTTAATTGAAATAAGCATAAAAATAAGCCGAACGCCACTGTGATGGAGCAGACAGCGGTTCCACGTACCAGCGCGTGTGCTTGCCCTTCATAGTTGGGCGTGGTTGGTCTTTGCCACTGAGACGGAGCTCCTGCAGAGACAAATATGGGGACGTTGAAGAGGTAATGACTTTACAGCAGATGGCGCTGCAGACACATTCTAAAGCTGGAGATCATTAAAAACGCAGAGGATCATTTTTGCTCCAACAATTCCCAGTGATGTTTTTTTTTTGTGAGCCAAAAACAAGGTTGCAATCAAACTGAACGAGTCAACTCAATGGGACTGATGTCAGTATTCTGTGGCGGATATTTAACTATTATCCAGATTTGTGGTCGCATGAGTAAGAATAAAGCACAGGATGAAACCACCTGATCGCAGTTTACCAACCTTCTGATTGGCACAATTTACTCAGCTGTGGGTTACGTTAAAGTAAGATCGAATTTAAAAAGGTTAAAATAAAGACAATGTGAATGGTGTGTGTATAAATACGTAGATGTGTTTGTGTGTGTGTGTGTGTGTGTGTTGATGACACATTCCAGTGGTGATTAAATGCCTTTTACTGACTCAACAGAACATTTCATGAGAAAACCTTGTTGCCTTCTCATAGACATTCACACAAAATCCACACTCCTACAACAAATACGCGAGGACCCAACTGCACCTGCAATAGCCTGAGGAGATCCAGGGGTAGATGGAGCGGAGGGGAAGTTATTACTGTTGTGGTCCGACGGGTAAATCTGAAAGAATTGATCGAGCAGAGCAAACAGTATTGATTTTCCCTGCAATACTGAACCATTGCTGAGCAATGTGTCACAACGACAGGTTCTCCTGCGTGATGGAATGGTTTTTATTTCATGCGATATTTATCTGGGATCAACGCAAATGTCTTGTCAGAAAATGTGAACTAAAAGAATCAAAAGAGTCACAGCAAATACAATAAGGATTAAGTGGGTTATTTTTAACCTTTTTTTTTCTTTAAGTAGGCCAAATACTACTTTGTTTAGTTTTTATGTCCTCGGTTCATTTGTCAGAGATTCCATCAGAAACAATTGACGTCACAATTTCTTGCCCACTTTAAAACTGAAGACAATTATTAGGTGCTTCGATTTCAACGTTTTGTTAGGAGATGCATCTTACACAATGGAAATTCATCGGCCTAAGATAACATATTTTCACTTAGGAGAAAAAAAAACTACAGTTTCATTGCCCTGCACTAATTTTGAAAAGCAAAAAATCAACAAATAACTCACTGAGGCAAGAGCCTTCCAATTTCATCTCCTGAACTGCCAGCTGTGGTGCCTCGGTGGGCTGCAGAGATAAAAGAAATCAGATAACGTGTTCATTTGTTCTTGAGAGGGGGTGGGGGGGGGGGCGAAGAAGGGGGAATAAAACGCTTTTAACATACAACTCCCTTACCCATGATGCTCTCTCCGTTGATGGCGGGGGTGTGGTTGTAGGCGGCGGGGGCCGGGTGGAAGCCGTTGACTTCGCTGCCGTGCAGCGGATAGTTCTGTGGGGACAGAGGCAGGGGTTGACGCTTCTGGAAAGGGAATACAAGTAGCTTCGTGAGGCACAAACCCCTGGGAAAACTCTACGAAATGCAAGACGTTATTAACCGCTCAACATTATTTAGATTACCCAAATGGTTAACAGAGATTTTATTTCATGCATCTCAAATGATGTGTGCTTTTATCAATGGAAAGTACATTTTTATTCCTGAAGAATAGTAATGAATTATTATAAATGAAAAATATGAAATGACTGAGAAGGTTTCAACGCACCATCCTTTCCTGTGGGTTAATTGCAGAGAAGGTGCCCGGCTGTCCGATGTGAGGAGAGTTACCCAGCATGGCGGAGTAGCCAGAGGACGACCAGGGGTCTTCTGAGTGAAACGCGAGACACATTCGCAAACGTAAAGACAGCTTTTAAAAAGAAAATAGGCCCACGGGGCAAATTCATTCCTGTGATATTTAAGATATAAGTGAAAGGTTACCTTGCATATAGAAAGGGTAGACCGCTCCAGGCTTAGCACCAGGATATCCTCCGTTGTCTCTCGCATACTCGTCACCAGATGTGGAAGCATACACCTAAACAAACATCCAGACAGTGAGCGGAGAGACGGAGATTCCTAAAACAACATACTTCACCGTGCACATTTACCGACTGGTGATTTATTCATTGTTTTAAAGTATTCTCACTTTGCTTCTCCCGAGTGTCACGAGAGAGACAAAGTAACAAGGAATCAATCCACCCGATCATATGCTTTCCAATAGCGTCAAGTGGCCACAAGATGGCAGGAGGGAGTCTGCCGGCGGTGGAGGCGGCGGGTGGAGGAGAACACAGCGGCCATGCCACGCTGGGCACAGCGACGGCTTGAATCCCGGCGCACAGCGGGCACTTCCTCTTGCTCCCGGGACCCCAGTGACATCGCCCCGCCCGGCCCGAGGCCCCTCCCTGCAACGCGCTCGGTATCAGCTGGCACGCATGCCATGCCGCCGGCGAGCCAACGCTCTGGCCTCCACCAGCAATACCTCCGAACCGGCAACACTGTCACGCTGTCTGTGGCGTCAACCGGAGGACCGGATTCGGTGATGACATTTTTATAACGGCACCCCTGAAGAGTCCGATCACACGTCCTTCCTGCGCGTTGCTAACGAAAAATGGATGCTGGGCCTTGAGTGACACATCTCTGCGCTCGGAGATGGACATTAAGAAGCAGTCGGTCACCCCCCACCCCCCAAAACGCCATCAGACACCACTCGGTTCGTCTTTTCCTCTCCTCCTCTGTGGCAACATGGCAGAGAGGAAGAGAATAGAGGCTAGGCTGCAAAGAATGCTAATCCAGAGAAGGGATTTTTTTCTGTAATTTGATTTAACAGGGAGAAGTGGAAAGGGAATGGAGAGATGCACTTCTAATTACAGAGCCATCTGCCTGTTCCTGGACCACATCCAACTCCACAGGCATCTGGCTTGAGGAGAGGGAGCGGAAAGAGGAAGAGAAATGGGGCCTGGAATTCATTCAGTGAGGGAGGGAGGGAGGGATTCCATAGGGTGGGGGGGGGGGGGGGTGGTAAAGGGGCATGGGGGAGAATCGAGGGGAAAAAATGGAAGGCCCTGATGATTTATGAAATGGGTAGGGAGATAAGGGGTGTTAAAGGGGGACAGGAGAAGGTAATCTAAATGACTTAAACAAAGCTTGATATGGCCAGGGGAGTGTGAAGGAAGCAGGGGATTTAAAATGATCACGGTTCATTCGGGGGAAAAACATGACGGAGATGGCTTCATTTAACAATAGGCTTTGAGTTGTTCTTTCACGGGGAACAATGTCGAGCGAATCCCGCTGCTCTGGATGGGAACAGGACCACACAATGACTGGTGCTGCTGGATAATTGTATTCTCCTGGAAGAAAGGGGATTTCTAGGGTAAAATCCTCGACTAATGGGGGTTTAATGTAAT